ATTTTTTCACCTCATTATAAATTCCAGTGATAACTGGATTATGCATAGCTGTTTTTATACAGGAACTTATACTAATACACCTTTTGGGATTTCTAACAAGATAGCCGTCAATACAGTCAGTTGATATGGTAGGTTTTGAGTTTAAATCTTTGGAATTTCAGAAATCTTTGAGAAATGGGTATTTTGTACTTTCTAACTCTTTGTAACCCAAAGATGTGAAATAGTTGCAGACTCTATATCATTAATTCAGTATAGCCCACTGTGTAGCAGTAATGTCTTTCAGATGCAGGAAGAAATCCTTGGTTTGCAGAGTAGTGTGGGATTGTATAGGAAAAAAGAGACACAGTTTTCCCACTATACTCTCAGCACACAGCACTTCCGGTCCTGCAATATGTAGGGTTTTCCCACACCAAACAATTCCCCGGTTTTAGCCTGGATGTTAACTGAGTGTCCTACAACTTAACTCAATTCTGACACATCTATCTGGTGCTGCAGTCAGGACCCACAAGTGTAAGTCATAGTCCGGTAAGACTGCCCTCCACTTAGAGGCAAATCACAAGTCCAGATCTCAGGAGTTTTTGAATGACCAACTATGTATAAACTGGGGGTTCCTATGACTCCTTCCTCAGGTCAAGACTTTGGATGGAATGGCTCACAGAAATTAGGGAAACAAGTTACCAGCTGCTGTAAAGGGTGTTTCAAAGTGTACGGAGGAGCAAGCACAGGAAAGGTCCATAGGGAAAAGATTTGGGGAAGGGATACAGAGTTTCCACGCCCTGTGCTCCTCCACACCTGCTTCCCATGGGCTTCGAGAGCCTTTCTTATGTAAGCTCCATGGATCACATCATTGGCCTTTGGAGATCAACTCAACCTTCAGCTGCTCTTCTCTCCCTATGGTCAAGGGTGGCGCTGAAATCCAACTGTCTGAGCCCATGTTGGTTTTCCTGGCAAGCAGCTCCCACTCAAGCTATGCAGGACCCCAGCCGTGAATCTTCTCACCAATATACAGAAAGACATTTATTTGCAGATTCCAAGGCTTTTCAGAGATTTGTACTAGCAACTGGTTAAATTCAAATATATATTTCTTATTGAAAAACACAACACCATAGTGACCATAAAAATGACCATGCATCTGGGCATAGTGGTATGTGCTTATAATCCCAGGTAATCAGGAGGCTGAGGCAGTAGCATCACTAGTTTAAGGCCAGCCTGGGCAATTTAGTGAGACCCTATCTCAAACTAAATACCCTAGGTTCAGTTCCCAGTATGGGAAAAAGAAAGGTCATGCAAGGGTAAAACATTCTTAACTGGGGCCAGGGGGTGGGGGGAATTATGATTGTCCTACAAAAGGTCTTTAAAGCTTTTTATTGTACCATTGAACATTCGTGCTATAGGCTATAAATATATGGGGAAATGCACAGGAATGAAACTAATACTTATCTAGTGCACTGTAATTTTATGTTTTTAATAAATGAAGCCTATTTTATTACTTCAAGTGTCAACGATTTAAAAATTTCAGCACAGCTGCTCCAGTTTTAAAAAGTGAAAATATATACTACATCTCTAGCTCAGTAGACAGATGAACCTGATGTCTCTGAATGGCACAACCGTTGAGCAGTGGACAGTACGTCTGGGATATTGTGCATTAGTTTGTCTTGCTTTGTAAAAATTTATCGGGATTAGCGTGACTGGTCTTGCTGTGTTTGCATGCTGTGTTACAGTTCAGAGTGAATATCTTTCCTGTGCCTCCCTGAATTGCCCTCCTCTTTTTAAATTTCAATCACCTTCCAAACTTTTATCCTTCGTGGGGGATTCATTGCTGGTGTCACTTCCTGTGGGACGTCTTCACCCTCTGTCACAACCACTTTGCTCAGTTTGTGCCTAAGTTTGCTCTCACCATGTCCCTCTGGCAGCTTACCTGCGCTTCTGTACGAGCGACAGTGTCAACACTCCCACAACCAGTGGTCTCACCCACTGCATCCTGTTCAAATCCCGCAGTCATTTGCACAGTACACTAAGAGTTTCTGCTGGGCTGCATGCATATGACTTGCTGTTGCTTCCTGCCATGAGGTTCAGATATGTTCATTTTTATGTTTCGTATTAGATTTCATCCAGAACTCAGCCCATGAAACCGCATGATCACCAATTGCGCTTGAGTACTCTCTTCAGAAGTCTGTGTACCATAAAATGTTTTAAATGTTGAAATAACTCTGTGGCCCGTTGGCTGGAATAATGAAGTTGTGCTTGGTAACAAAGAGGAAGTTATCATATTTTCATTTAAATCCCCCAAGAGAATCAGGGTGACCAAGAGCATTATCCAGTAGTAGTAGTTAAATCTGAACAGTTAAATTTTGGTACCTACAGTCCATCCACTGCTGGGGACAAGGAGGCAGCACAGCTCCATGATTTGATGTCTGGGTGGGGCCCTCATGACAGATGTGTGTGGCTGATCACAGACAGATCACTGTTCCCCTGTCACTGGTCATGAAGTACATCCACTATTCACGTCCTGGTCTCTGGGCAGAGGAAACGATCATGCTTGATGCAATTCCTCCCTGTTAAAATATTGAATAATGGGAATTTTGAACCTTGTGGTTGGGGGACTAATGTGACTTAGTGAAACAACACAACTGATATTTTTACATAGAGGAACTGCACAAAGTGACTGCTTTGCTGTGATCCAAGACCAACTTCAAACGAAGGAAAATAAATGACAAAATGATTTTTTAACCATTTAAATATCTTCTTTAACTTCCACTTCTCAATATACACCTGAATCTTTTTATTAAATATCCCTCGTAATTCTACGACCACATGCTGAGCTTGTAACCCCAAGCTATTGGTAGAAACCTCCTTTGTGCAATTCTACAAAATTTATCAGGTATAAGTGCTAGGCTCTTTTTTAAGGACACAGTGACACTATATTAGTGAGTCTACCACATATGTTGCTTTCTGTCCCCACAAAAACCCAAGCAGTCAAACAGCTGTGATCACCTACCATCCTATGAACATGACCACTCCTGCATGTGATCCATGTAATGGGATGAGTTCTTGTTTTCTTTTAATTTTAAAAAATTTATTAGAATAAGAGACATAGTGTCATCAATCCCCCTCAAAATACTTTCACTTTGAACATACTTTGATGAGTTCTTAAGTGTAGCATGAAATTATCACATCCTCATTACAAATCTACAGAAACTGAGGCTTGAAGAGAAGTTCAATGATTTGTCTATGTAAAAGGAAAAAGTGTTTCTTAAGCAGTGTTTGCGTCAGTGCTATTAGTCAAAGTTGAATGCTGTGTTCACCACAACTAGTTCAAACCCCCTGAACCGGTGTAGGATCAAGAACCTGGAGGGGTACAGTCAGATCAAACTGGACTAAATGCACAAATACTTCTCTGACAATGGACACTGGGACTTGATTTGCCTAACTACACAGTCTTGTCAACTCATGCCACCCTTTCCATTATGCAAATTCTGGATCTTTCCTAAGCAAAATCATCATGACCCACAATCCCATCCTGTTGTCACCCCCTTCCCCTCAGAGCGCTACTTGGGGAATTGTTTCCCGCATGTGTTCCTTTGCCTGGCAGGTAAATAAAAGGAGCTTTATCCTTTGAGCTAGCTGTGGCGATCCTTGGTTTCCTTGTTGATACTCAGGATCATGCACCTAGTAAGTGACAGAGCTGGGAGACAAATCCATTTTTCCAGCTGCAACTCTTACGTTTGATTTCCGTGTTAATTTGTTAATTAAATAATGGGAGCAAATTCCATCCACACTAACTAGTTCCAAAATACAAAAAAAGAGGGAGCTCTTACTACAATCGTTCTCCGGGGAACTTTAAATCATTTTTCTCTTTACAATGGCAGGATCTTCACTCTTGGGAATTCCTTCCTATTGTAATAATAAATATAATACTAATGACAGTAACAGTATAATAATATTAACAACAACACCAATAGCAATTTAATTACAGCCAGTGTCCACCGTGTGCCGGGATCTGTTTGTTCTCCAGCTATCTCAAGCCACTAATGGAGGTGTACCATTTCCTTGTGAAAACTTCAGTCCACTGCAGTTCCATTCTGTAAATCTGGTGTAAAGCAGCGAAGTATGGAGCGGGCAGGCTGACAAACTAGAGACAAACAAAGGCACTGTGTCCGTGGGAAGGCAGCTGTCAGTCTCCATTTGCATGACTTGTCGTGAGAGACTACAGGCCTGGTGTTGTCAGATTTGAAAAGGGCACCAAGAATCTAGGTCGTTAGGTAAAATGTACTACTTTTTATGAGACATTGTACCCCAAACAAAACACATCCCCAAGCTGAAGTGTGCCACGTCCCAAGCTTCCCCTGCAGACCTGCGGGCTGAGAGCAGAGCAGATCACAGAGCCCTGGCCTCTGCATTTCAGCCCCAGCTTTGCTACTTTGTGTGGCTTTGGGCAGGTTACTTAGCCTCTGTAGACCTCAGTTTTCTTATCTGCAAAATGGACATTTAAATAGTAGATATTTTATAGAGTTGTTAATAGGAAGAGATTAGTATTTTCTGTTTTGAATCTCTAAAGTGCTTAGTAAGAAAATTAGCATTTCATCAGTATTTTGGATTTGTTTTTTCCTCTTCATCTTCCTTGAGCCAGCCCTTCTAACGCCCCAGTGCCCATTTCAGGGGCTCAGTCCCGGGTTGTATGTTCAAATCTGACTACAAATGACTCCTGACTTATGAACACAAACAAAAAACCCTTCTGTCATTTTCAATGGTTCATTATTGATGGTTGAATTAAGACAGGTAAAGAATTAAACATACTTATTTTACTACGTTAAAGCATTTTTATGACGATATGGAACCACTCGGCTGAACTGATAAAAAGAAGTAATTTGTATGATATTATGCAGGTCCAAATGAGTAACTTTTATTTGGTGAGATTGAATATGGGCATTTTTCAAAACTTTTTTTTGTTTTGCCATCTAATCTTTCAAAATATCTAACTGGTGTGTTTAATTTTTCAGTTTATCTTTATTAGAAGAATTTGACTGTAGCTGTAATGAGCTGGAGTCTCTGCCTTCTACTATTGGCTATCTTCATAGTCTTCGAACATTAGCAGTTGATGAGAATTTCCTTCCAGAATTGCCCAGAGAAGTGAGGAATAAACTTGTCTTCTATCGATTACCTTTCAAGGAAACTGTTTTGAAATGAAATCTTAACAGATGTGGTAGCAGTAGAGATCATGAGCTGAGCTGTTGTCTCTCTGTCTATATGTACATGTGTGGAGGGGTGTTGTCAGGGGATTGCTGCACGTGTGTGGGTTAATTATTCTATTTTAAAAGACAAGTGACAAATTCTAATATTTAACCCAAAAAAGTGCATGCAAAGAATAGCAATAAGTTAATCAATACTGAGACATAAAATTTTATATCATTTAATTTCCATGTTTTGCTTTAAAAACAATTATAAATAACATTTTAAGATGGTTACATTTCCATTTCTGAAGTAAAAAGGGGTTTTGGTGTAAATATGTTTACAAGATTTTTATGTTGCATTATACTAGTACTGTTTTAACTCCTAGATCCACCTAAAGATTCTGTTAATTTTTATCTCTAAATTGGATTTCACTTACTAATGTTAAGAATAAAAACCATGAAATAGATCTTCAATTTAATATTTTCTACTAACCACTTCCATCATGATGGAACAATAATCAATCTATCATTATTTTGGAGCCAAAAGTTATGAATAAAAATGACAAAAACCATTGCAACAAGAAGAAAAATGAGCTTTGCCAAGGAACTGTCAATATTTGATTTTGTGAACATGTATATTCATCTATTGTAAACCAATAGATTAGTACTCACTTAGGTAGAAAAACTGTGATTTATGAAAACAATTGTGTCAGCAAGTATTTTAAAAATGAAATTGGTAATAAAATTCTTCCTTCTTAACATGTAAAAGAAAATGAGGTATCCTTTGCCTATTTAAAAGTATACACAAATTTTTAAAAGCAAGATTATAGAAATAAGACAATACATATTTTACACTTGATTTTAGCCAAAAGGCCAAGAAATGATAAGACAATACACATTTAAAAGAAAGTTGAAAGTAATAACAAAGTCTGAGTTACTTAAAATGGCTTATAAATTTTAAAATTATTTAAAATGGCATACTACTGTGATTCCTGACTTATTTTGTCCTTTCGGCCACCCATAGATTGGAAGCTGCAAGAATGTAACAGTGATGTCCCTCCGCTCCAACAAGCTGGAATTCCTTCCTGAAGAAATTGGACAGATGCAGAAGCTGAGAGTTTTAAATCTGAGTGATAACAGGTATTCTTGCAACATTCCATAATTGTATATTGGTCATCTGCTGTCATCAAGTTGTTGCTGTTGCCTACCATTTTGGAAACATATTCTGTATCATATGCTTTCCATAGGCAATGCAGAAGATAAATTATTTTTAAAGTAAATCTAATTTTTCCTATTTGATTATATGAAAATCATACTAAATTATACACTAAATTTGTATAAAATCTCTATGCATAAACTTAGTTACCAAAGCCCTTCTCATATGTGGGAAGCATAGTTCTGGGAAAATATGGGAAAACAGTTGTAGTAAAAAACTGTGAAAACTATTTTCTGATCAGTAAAGTATACTGATAAGTACAAATAGATTCACAAATACATATATATACATGTGTGTGTGTTCACATATATATTTATTTATGTCTCCCACAAATCTACTGGATGATACATGTACTTCACCCCATCATAGTGCTGGTAAGAGTAGCGCTAGTCAGGTATTATTCAAAGGTCATAAAGGTTGAGTATTATAGCAAGTACAACCAAATAGCTGCTTAGTCATGTGCAAAATATGGTGAATAAAAACAGAATAGGTCTTCCACTTGTGACAAAACTGTCACATCGGTAGATAGGTAAGAAGAAAAAGGGAAAATCTGTAATTCTTTGTTTCTACCTTCTCTATAAATGACAAATGTCGTCAAGTAGAAAAAGAAAAAGTAGACCTTGACTAGAAATAACTAAGTGGACAGTGTGACTGCAGAGCAGAGCTCGTGAGCTCAGTCTTTCCAGTAAGCTCTCGTCGGACAAATGCTGTGTGAGGGAGTGACAGCCCAGGCAACTGTCAAAGATGAGCTTTGATGAAGGCGAGGAGAATACCCAGGGAAGTTTCAGGGAAGGAGCAGGGACATGCTCATTTGTTTATAGCTTATTTAAGGAAAGAGTTACATGAATTTCAAAAACCGTTCTCTGAGTATTCCCTTGCTATTTCCACATAAACAAAATAAAGCTTTTTTATTAAAAGCTTTGGGGTTTTATTTATAAATTGTGGGTGGCAAGGAGGCCCCAAAGCTCTGTGTGTCAAGAGTACACCATGTCGCACCGGTGTCCTTTCTGCTTCTGATGAGGTTACCAGACTGGGAAATGAGGGAGGTGTACCCACTGAATATTATGTCTGACTCAATAGGACAGTTTTTTCAAATCTCTCCATCCACGTGAGTTAGACTAGGAAACGCGGTCATGAAGATGTCATAAGCAGAAGTATCGCTGTACAGTTGAGTTGCAGTCCCTGGAGGAACCATTATTGCTAACTTGGAGAGGAGTTGTCATGATGGGCTGTAGAATTTCTCTCCCAAATTCTTGGCCTCCCAAATTTTTTCAACAATAATATGTTGACTATATAGAAAATATGCATGACTGCATAGAAGATTTGCTTACCAAATATTACAAATGATCGGTAATTAGAAGGACTCTTAATGCTTTGGAGTTACTTACTCAGCACATACCGCAGACCTGAGTACCTGCCACTGGCCAAGAGTACTGCTAAGTCTTAGGGCAAAATACATGAAGATAGTGAGGATCCGACAGAACAAAGACTTAACTATTTCGTCTTGCCAAAAACACATGCTTAATTTATCTTCTGTTGCAGTGACTACAGCATAGAAAGAAGCCAACTTAATATTTTTAATTGGTGAATCAATTCATCAGAGGTAAAAATCAATAATCAGTTAGAAAAGAGGCCAAAGTTAACCATTACCATTAGACAATGAGCTGCTAGCAAAGAGGCTGAAATAAAAACGCTAAGTGCAACTTTTTAATTTAAATTATAATGGATTTTTGAGGTTTGATATTATATATGAATGTATGTTATAAGTTAACTGTGCCAAGAGTTGTGGCTTGTGCAACATATTCCACATTTATAGTACAGAACATAGGGCTTTTGATGGAGAGTGGTGAAAGAGCCCAGGAAGTAAAACCCTTTCTCCCTCTGCAATAGTCTCTTTCTTTTCTTCGTATTCCACTTTTAGGACTGGTGATTGACCCAGAGATGCTGTTGTGTTTGATTCTGGGGAGTTTTCCCCTCCTGTAATTTAGATGCAGCAAAATTGACTTTCTGCTGTAAATTTATCCTCACATCATGTGAAAAATGTCACCCATTCTAAGACTTGCTTCACAATTTCTCATGCAATTGAATTTAAATAACTATAAATTAGAAGCAACATTTATGGATAATTGGTTTGAAGTTGTAATTCTATCAAAAGAAAAGAACTGAAATATAATTTAATCTCTTTTAGGCTCTTTAGTCTTATTTATGTTTTACAAATACTTGTTAGTTCAGAAAGGATATTATGTTCTTCCTAAAGTTATCCGTTGAGCGCATACTCAATACTTGTATTGGCTGTCAGTCTCTTTTTATACATATTAAACTGTTTGAAAGTACTTAGCTGCTTTTGCACATAGAATAACTCATGAGTTCCTGTAACATTTTCACTAGCCTTACCAAGCCTTTATCAGCTAGGATTCAAATATACAAAGACTTAAGAAAATTTTCACTCCAACTTGTACCTAAAATGTTTCTCTCTATTCAAGTGAACATGCAGAAATTAACAATGAATTTCCCACACACTCTTGCTTATACTACTCACTGTGCTGATTAGCTAGGCTGATAAATTGTGGGATCACAGCTTGTGGATCATGCACAGTTGTGGTTTTATGGATATCAGGTAGTATATTGAGGTAAACATTTGGCACCTGATCCCCCAAATACTAAAACCAAAGTGAAATACATAATTTTGTTTGAATAGCGAGGCAGAGACCACACTTCACATCTCAAAAATGCTATTGCTAAAGATTCCTTTTTTGAATATCTACTATATGTTTTATAAACAGTGAAAGAACAAGTAGACTTTCTGGAGGTCAGCATAACTTTGAGGGTTGTTAGTTTAGCATTAAGATAGACCTAGCCCCTCCCCCTCATGCAACTCAGCTTTGTAAGAATATCAGGGGGTCACCAAATAATCACAAAAATAAGTGATAAATACTGCAATATGCTCCGTGAAGGAAGACACAAGATACTTCAAGACTAGATTGAGGAAAAGTAGTTTAAATAGAAGCTAGGAAAAACCTCTTTGAAAAAGGCATTTAAACTGAGAGCTAATGAATATATAGGCTTTATACAGGTGAAACATGTCAGGGAGAATATTCCAGATGACCAAGGGCTTGACTGAGATGCACAGCAGGCGGGAAAGGACCAGTGTGTAGACCAGGCTGAGGCAGGAAAGCGCGGCAGAAGCAGCTGCTGAAAGGGTTTTTAGGCTCCAGATATTTTAAGGCCTGACAATGCATAATAACAATTTGTATTATATCCAGATATAGTGGGAAGCATTTGAACAGTTACAAAGATTTTCATTTTTTAAAGGTTATTCAGTCTGTTTAGTGGAGAAAAGATTAAAGAGAAGACTGATATGAACACAGTACAGTATTTTCAATAATTGTTAGAAATGAGCTTGACACATCTTAGCCTATGCGATTTGAATTTTCTTATCTTTGCAGACTGAAGAATTTACCATTCTCTTTTACCAAACTTAAAGAGCTTGCAGCATTGTGGCTTTCTGACAATCAGGTAAAAATAACCACCTTGCCTGCTAGATTTTGTTTATTAAGATGAACCATAATTGAAACTTTGAATTACTGACTTTTTCCCAGCAGATCCTATTGACACCTGCTATGAAATACAGATTTTTATCCTGTCGAAGTGATACTTTTATCAAGTTACCAGTTTAAGCATTATTGTAGACAAAACAGTACTATAATCTCCATCTTAAAATATTTACATTTAATGTCTACTTCATCATTAGAGATCATTTTCATAGTTTTTTAGCTCTTCATGGGACACATATGTCCTGAGAGGATGTACTTTAATTATAGCTCTGAAGGTAAAGAATTAAAAACCATTATCACAATCCCCACCGGGGGAATTACTATCCTCTATGTTCTTTTTTCTTCCTGTACTTTTAATTATAATCAATTTAATATTAAAACTTTACTCCATAAATTTTCTGATATCTTTTGGCAACTATTATCAGCATTTTCTGTTTTGATATTATTCTCTGTACTCATGAAAATAGATTATCATTGAATCAGTAAGTGAGTGCTAATGAATAATTTTATTACGTGGAAAATAATAAGGAACAATTAGAGAATCTGATTGCCACCAAAAGAACTGGCAACGTGTAATTTTGACACAGTTCATTAGTTCTCTTTTTTTCTTGTCTCTAAAATTTTAAAATATGAATGATCAAAGGAAAACCATTCATCTTGAATTTAGCATTATTTTTTAGTACAGCAATAGCATGACTGCTAAATGTATTGTTCATACTTAAGGATATTGGACACCTGTTGTGAAAATTAATAACAACTTCTCCAAAATATAAATGTGAAAATAATATTTGATTTTCTAGTCACTATAACATTTCCATCGACTGAGTAAAAGCTCAAATTGTCATTCAAATCTTATCAATAAACTAAAGATTTTTCACAATAGAGATATATCATAAATAAATCATTTCTGGAATCCATGTGGACTATACTTGGTGGAATAATCTCTTCTACAGTCTTGCATTGCTAAAAAACATTCCCTACTATCATGATTTATTATTCTTGTGCAATGATGAACAGAACAGTGACTGCACCATTTAACTTTTACTTTTAAACACGGATTTAATGTGTTTTAGACAAAGTTTCATGAGACAAGCTGATATTCCAAATCCCACTTTGGCTTCACTCCGATTAATAAGTGTCCTGAACTGAGCAGATTTTTCATACATTAGGCAGTATGATCCTTTCCAATACATTTCTAGCATATAATATTCAAATTCTAAAAGTACTTCACATGTAGTATTTCTGCAATCAAATTCATAACAGAATGAAATATGACCATAAGTATAATATAAAATGGCAGATACTTGTATAACTGCTTGTCAGTATGTGGACTGTGTCTTTGCTTACAAAAATGTCTCTTTAATAAATGTTTATATTTTATCCTAGCTAAACTCCCAAATGAGCTTGCATAGTATGAATTTGTTTTTTTTTTTTTTTTTTTTTTTTTTTTTTTGGTTTTTCTCCGGTACCGGGAACCAAACTCACGACCTTGCGCTTGCCAGGCAAGCGCTTTTGCCGCTGAGCTAAATCCCCAGCCCCCGCATAGTATGAATTTGATAGCAAATTCCATTTGTCTTTCTAGAGCAACAGTCCATGAAAATGAATAGGCATACAGAATCGTTTGAAAAGCTAACTTAAATTGAAACAATTTAACACATTTTTCCCATCAGGATTAGAACTGGCATTGCTCAGCTGAGTAGGTTTGGGTAAGTTTTTTAAATGGGTACGATACAAAATTTAAAAACCTCCTTATGAAAATCTGAAAATTTGAAAGTATTCCTTAACAATGGTCTTCTATGTTACACTTTCTGGTTCCATATTTTCACTCGTTTTTCTTTGAATCATTTATTCATCTTGACAAGGCCAGACTATGCATTGACCATTACCTTGTCTAACACCAATAGTCCTCATGTTTGTGATGGTATTCATCTCTTTTATCTGTTCTTGGCTTGCAGTCCAAAGCCCTTATCCCTTTACAAACAGAAGCCCATCCGGAAACGAAGCAGAGGGTCTTGACGAACTACATGTTTCCCCAGCAACCTCGTGGTGATGAAGGTAAACTGTCAGTAGAAATTCCTTCTGTGCTTAGAATGACTACAGATAAAAAGAACTGGTGTGTTCCAATCTCTGTCCAGTGGTGCTGACTCACGGACAAAACCATAAAGATAATTACATGACACACGTATATCATTGGAGAATGTAAGCATGAGTCTCTACACTGTAATATTTTAAGTAAGGTTCCAGAAACAAAGCCTTTCTTCTTTGTACCTTTCACAAAAATAATGAAGACATTTCAAGGTGACTTCTTTTCTTGTTGGATTGCATGACCCAGGACTAGGGAACGAATGACACCCAGCCAGGCACAATGAGTGGCGGGCAGTCAGTCTGAGGGAAGCTCAGCAAGTCGTGCCTGTGTTCATTCATTGTCTTCCGCAATCGAAATGTTTAGTCCCGTGATCTTGGGCCCCGAATTGTTTCATGCGAGGGGTAACCATGAAGCAATGAGTTCTAAGTAAAGACCATTTTTTTTATTTTCAGGTTGAATTTCCCTGAACAATGTCAACTATGATAGAGATCCTTTTGTAAAAACCTAAACCTTTCTTTATAATTTAACCTTCTCACCTATGATCTTATTCCTCATGAAAACTTTTCAAGAGGTTTGTCCTCCCCTATCTGAAACAGTACCAGCTGCTTGGCCCAAGCCAGCTCCAGCTGACATGCACACTTTCTAGTCCTAGAGCCCAATAATCCTTGGAAGAGTAAACCCATTTTTCTCTAGTCCTCCCAGCTGACTTAAATGAGACCAATGTGTAAAATAAGCCATTTGCTTGAGCACTTCTTATTTTCAGTTACAATTATAATAAATAACTTGGACTTCCAAATATAAGTGAATCACCTAGAGATATTTTATCTTATTTTTATTCTATTTTGACTCACAGAAGTAGCAAAAGGAAAGGTTGTTTTCATATATATTTTTCAGACTTTAATACAGTTGATCTTTTGAATTTATGAAAGAAAAGCCACGTTTACTTACATAAGAAATCTTAAGAAAGGACTATGTTTCATTCACATAGCTTCACTCATGTATTTTCATTTTAATATCACTAGATTACCAACATATTACATTTTCACAGGATGTAGGGGAAAATGAAAGCGTTTCAAGTTCATGGTCGTTTCTGAGATCCAGTCTCAAAGATTAAGTCCCTAATTTTTCCAAGGTGTGAGATAGATGTAGTCAAGTAAGATGTCCTGTGAAAGCATTTGCATTTGCCTACTTGGTTTTGGTGTGCTTGTTTGTTTTTGGTTTTCCTTTCTGGAAAGAAAAGTTGCCAATTGAAAAATTTTCATGAATTTCAAGCAAGTCACCTTTCTACTTTGTCAGGCGGGAATAGCAATAATGAATTTTCAGAATCCTTCACTAAAGAAAGAAATACCACAAAGGCTATGTTTTGAGAACGAATTTAGCCTCAGCTAAGTACTTTTATTGCATTTTCATGTGATCTTCACAGTTACTTTGCTAAGAAAATATTACCGTTGCCAACATTTGGTGTAAATTAAAGATTTATAAGCCCTTTCCTTGTTAATATTAGACACATTTAAACTAACTGAAATCTTAAAGGCCAAATTTTCCACTTGCTCTCTACCTTAAAAGCGAGCTCCTCTTGACTGCACACACATACACTCAAATCCCAAAGAACAGAGTATTTGCAACTAGAGTAGGGCATTTTATTGCATAATCAGCATGATGTAGCATCTTTTATTTTTTAGAAAATATATTGAATGAGCCTTTAATAGTCACACATATGAGCTCTGCAATCATGTGGACACAGGATAGAATCCTGCATTATCCCCAGAAGGACTGCATGACTTTGAGGAAGTGTTGGAAAATGCAGCTACAGTTTCCTCATTAATAAAATAAGGATGATATTTAGTACAGCCATCAGGCTGCTCTAAAAAAATGCTTTGTCTGTCTCTCTGTGTTGTTTCTGTTATCCCATGGGAATCCTATTTCCAGCACTAAAAAAACTTCCCAGACCCTTTGTCTAGCTTACAAAAAACAAATGTAAGTTAATATAGTATAAGATCAAGATGTCATAATAAATATCAAGGGGGAACCAGGCATGGTGTTGCATGCCTGTAATCCTCCTGTTGCACTCAGGAGGCTGAAGCAGGAGGATCATTTTGAGTTCAAGACCAGCCTGAACTGCATAGTGAGACCCTGTCTCAATAAGACAAAATAAGTAAATAAATAAATAAATATCAAGGGATAGTACTCATCCTTTCTTTCCTTCTTTCTCATTTCCTCTCTTCCCCTCTTTCTATTTCTCCTCCACTGTCTTTATTTTTATATTCATTTGTAGTACCTATCCCCAGCTTTTAGTGTAGTATATTAAGCTCTAGGGGTAACACTATGTTAAAAGAAAAAAAAACAGCAGTAACACTTTGGAATCCAACTGTAGATTTCCAGTCAGACAGTGACAGCTTCAACCCAACACTGTGGGAAGAACAGAGACAACAACGCATGACCGTTGCCTTTGAATTTGAGGAAAAAAAAGAAGACGACGAAAATGCTGGGAAAGTTAAGGTGAACCTTTTAGCTCTTGTTTCTTTTTTCTTCTCTTATTGCTTTGGTTTGTCCAGAGTTAATATTCAAATGGCTTTTGGGATAAGCTGAGTAAGCTCTGCCAGAAGGTCAGGCACCTCTGTCTCCTGGCTCCTTCCTTTGCAACAGGCTGGTAGTTTGAGAAGCACTGGTGTGCTTCAGAATGAGAAGAACCATCCTGGTTCTGACTCTGAGAGTTTGATTGCCACTCCTTCCTATGGAGCACAACATACGAGAGATCCAAGGTGAGGGAAACAAAAAGAAAGGAAGTCTGAGCAGTGGACTTCGTTCTCCTAGGTGCTTTGTTTTCTCTTTGGCACCACAGAGATTTGCTTTTAACCACTGAGCAAGCTTTGCATCACGCAAGCGGGGGCCAAAGTACATGTTTATGAAAGCACCCATGGATGACCACGTTACAGTGGCTCTAAATCTCTGAAAGTTTTTGTCTCTTTGACACCAGAAAAGAATCTGTGAGTGTCCTTAAACATGAGACAAGTGTTAAGGTGAATTTCTACTGACAGATGGTGTTCCATAAGGAAAATAGCCAATTGTTTTCTTTACACCAAACCGTATTTTTAAATATACTTTATTGGAATTAATCTAAGTCACATGTCATGGTTGGATTTTAAAATCTGTATTTTTCAATTATTTAAATTTTCAGCTACCATCAGAATTGGTTTAGATTTTTTTAACACCTGGTTTTCATGTTATTGTCATAGCAACATCTTGAATCTCTCATTAATTTTTTATACTATTTGTGTACATTTTCCATTGTGAATACTAACAGCCCTCACTCTTAGTGACTAATTACCTAAGTAGTCACATATGCATCTTATTAATAAATGTAGATTGTGTGATGTGTTCTGTGTCCTCTCTCTCCCATATTTTCTAAATGTTATTTCTGAACCATTATTTCTAGAACCTTACTAGAATTAGTCAGTAAGGTAATTGAACATTTACCAACCAGGCCTATTTATATCATTATAGAGAACCCAAAATGTGTTCCCAAATCCAAAAATGACAATTTTTATTAAAGATTTGGGATTAAAACAGTGTTTCTGAATGGTTGGTTAGTGTCATCTGCCCCCAAAGACCTTCTTTTTTCTTAAATTTGTGATTGCGTAGGAAAAAATTTTGCTAAACTAGAAGCCAACTAACCAACCAACCTTTGAAATATTTCAGTTCTTCTTTGAAAGATTTCATCTGTGAAATCTAGAACCAATAGATGATATATTCTACATTGGACTATTGATTCATTTTTATTGAAGTATCAAAAACTACATGCTTGTTAAACAAAATTACGTACAAAAAAAATACATTCAATATGCTCTGGTATATGTATCAATGAAAAGAGAATTAATAAGTGCAGTTATTTAGAAGCCCTGTTTGTGTATTATGTGGTTAGGTTTGTTTATAATCAGAGTAGGTTCATTATACTTTAGAAGGTTTTTTCTTGATATTCATTTGCATTTAGTTGATTCATATTTTGGTAAAACAATATATGTTTTTCCAAAATCTCAGACTACTTGGCTTTGACTAATTTGAAGATTTCCAATGCCATTGGCCATTGGACAAATTAGAGCACAAACAAACTTCTAAATAAATCATCATGGAAATATGATGAATGAAATGTATTGAAATCTTACACTAAATTAATCGTACTTCTCTGGTTCATTACATGTATGTTAAATTTAGCCCCACTTTACCTTGAACTTACCTGAAATCCGAAAGGGAATCGGTGGCCTATGCCGTCCACTGTCAAATGAACTGGAGTATGATGCCCTGCTTAGAGTGTGCACAGAATGAGTGCTGTATGGTGTGAGCCTTCAGCTTCCTGTGATATTGGTGCTGATGTATTACATGGATTTAAAGCTAATGTTAATGGTAGTTGTTGTAAATGCATTACCCAGAATGAAAGAAAAAAATCAAGAATAGAAAAGTAATAAAGTAAAAGTATTGCTACAGTGCTCCTCTTTCTCCCAGAAAATGGAGATTCCTTCTCCTACAGGGTCTCTCCTGCCAAGCCCCCTGGGAAAGGGGCCAGCGTGGGATTACTCTCCAACCTGCCAGACTGTCTGGCGATTGCTGCACACCATGGGCCAGGTGTGATCAGCAGATCCAAGATATGCCCGTCCCCCAGAGTGACCCACAGCTGGCATGGGGTTGTATAAGTGGCCTCCAGCAGGAAAGGAGCATGTGTACTCAATTACCAGTGGCAGCGCAGTCCACCACTCTTCCCTCTCTAAGTGGCAGACAGGTAGGCCTAGGAGTCTGGGGTAGGAGAATCCCATGTAGAGCCAACCTTGGAACAGTGGTTTATGGGGTATGTTCTGCATGATTTGGGACAAGCGATGCTGAACGCATAGCAACCTTCACATCGCCAATGTTGGATCCTAATGTAATTTTGTGCTTACTGACATTGGCAGTAGGGTGGGAAGGACGGAGGCAGAGGGGAGGGAACTTTGATGCGAGGTGCCTACTGGTGGGATATCTGGCATGGTGTTTCAGCGGGTGCTGCATTTTTATTTGCATTTCTTTCATCTTTAAAGTGTGGAAATACAAATAGTTGGGCAGAATGTTGATGATACCATTGGTGCAGTCTAAATTGTCTTCCCCATGCATGCACTTTTTATATCATCAAATCTATGGAAGATTAAGTAGCTAAAATTGATCTTAAAAGAGCATGAGTCTAAATTGAGATTTGCCGAGAGCGGGCTTTGAACACAAAGAGAGAAATCTGTCAAAGCATCAGTTGCCTTTAATTTGAAGATACAGATGATATGAATTCCTATAAGAGAAGACTGGGTCTGGACTTGTGGCAAATAGGGCTTCCTTATCTCAGAGGGCTGAGTGTTTCTGAGGTTAGTGGGAGGAAAAATACATCTTAATGGAATATGGAAAAGCACTGCATTTTCTGTAAACTTTACTATCCACATGTAATGGACTAGATTCTTATTCTGTGTCTTATATTCTTCCTACAATATAAGACAAGCTGAGCCTGTATCTTCCTAACTACCACTGTTGTAAGTTTTCTTTCTTTGTAAAACATTCCAATTAATTCTGAGAATAAATAATATTTAATTATCAGTGATCAAGAAAAACACTATTATTTCTCTTACTGGAATTGACAATCAAACCAAATGAGAATTTAATCATTATCTGGAATATATTATATTATGTGAATGTAATATAATATATGAGAAACAGTTCCATGTGAATTCAAGATATCATTTCCAAATGCCCAAGCTATTAATATTAAGTAATTCTTCAGTACTAAATGTTTGGGGGTCTCTAACATCTTATAGCTGCTATTTGCATTTACTCTACTTTTTTAGATTTGAGATGCATAGACTGTTGTGAAACATTTCTGTTTTCCAAAATTAAAATATTTCAGTAAAAATCTTTGAATTTTAATACAATGTTTTTGTGACATGAGCAAATACTTTATAGTGAGTGACAAAATGCCAAACTTTTATAAGAATATGATTGATAGGCATTCCCACCTAAGTATATAAAACATGGATTTATATCTTTTCATGCTACATTAGAATAAGGAAATATTTCTAACTTTATTTACAGTTAGGAATATAAAGAGACTACCTTTATGTTTGAGAATTACTGAGCTATTAATGTAGCTATTTATTCCTTTCTCAAACTCTGCGTACATGAGTTGAAAAACGGAAAAGTAATGCAGTCCATAAAAGGGTATTAATATATGCTTGTGCAGAGTTTAAAACAAAACAAATGTTAGAATTTAATCTTAAAATAACTTATAAATATTTAGCTGTATTTTTAACTGAAATTATATCGTTATTTAACTTACGAAAGTCTACATTGTAGACCTACACTATTTCTTTTACAAGATTACATCACTATGTTCTGCACCCACAAATAACACTGCTGAACCCAAAACCATGAAGTCAGAAAAACCTATTTGAATCTGACCTTAGATGAGGTGCTTATATTGTATAAGCTCCAATTTTCCTTCTGTAAAGTGTGAATAGCTGCTATAATCATATATGAGATTTAAATAAGATGTAATTACACATTAATGACTCATCCTATAATAATTAATAACCATTTATTATTTAGTATGTAAATAGTAATGTATATTTAACCTATAGGATCTATTATAGTGTAAATTATGTAAATAATTAATAATAAATTAAATATCCCTATAAAACACTCAGCATGGTGCCTGGCACAAGATAGGTACTGAATAAATGATAACTTGTTACATCCAATACAAAAAAAGCTTTAGCCAAGTATGACGTAATTGTTAGATATCTAGTATAGCGTCTAGATACCAAAGGAGTCTAGATTTTTTTAAACACCTAAGTAAAATCTATGTTAGAAATAATGTTTAATATCTGCATAGAACTCACAGATTTTCAAAAGACCTTCACATTTATGTCATTTAGCTCAAAATTAACTCAAGCATGTGGGAAGGGTGTTAATATTCTCACTTTACATGAGTAGATGAACATTAGTAGCTAGAGGCGAGCTGGGGGTACTCCATGACTCAAATTCACACATCCTGACCCCAAGTTCAGTGAGCCCCAGAAGGAGACCAGTAAATCAGAAGCAAAGAGCTGATTTTCTAGGTAAAATAAATCAAAGTTTTGGGTGACCTGGAGTTCCCACAATTTGGGGGAAGGCCTGTTACAGAAAAAGACATAAAATAACTCCATGAATACATAAATGGGGTTACTTACGTGGCTTTGGAAGAGGCATGTAAAACTGATAAATTTGTTTCTAGATTTAAATATTTTTATGGAAGGAAAATGCCCAAATATACTCTGGTGATATGGCCAAAATATCACAGTAGATTGCTTATAAAATAACCAGGAAACAGTATTCTCGTGGCCATTAGCAAACGATCATCTAATTGTGTCAGATGGGATGTAAAATCTATAAAAAGTGGATTACATTATGCACTGAAGTATTTAATTTAATTAAGAAAGAGCATTTCACATTTCTATTACCTTCAATTTCTAAGTGCAATTTTAGTGTTGAAGATTTTATAGTCGTGTAGAATTTTTATTTAATGCCAAATTTTATTTCATGTATCCCTGCTTATGAAAAATAAGAAGATATTCTAAATTGGCGTGATAGTCATACTATTCTGCAGTTTACCTTTTTAAATGTAGTTCTTTGACTTTTAAAAGCCTTTGGATATCAAGTAGTTTTTAAGCAAGTTCAACATTATAACTTAAAATTAGATTCACCTCAAAATACTTCTGATGCCAATTTAAACATTAGACACTTGGGTGCACGGATTCCAATGCACTTTGTCCAGCGTGGATGTCACTGTTTTGTGTTTAAGGATGCTTCACAAATTTAGTACACTGGGGTGTATTCATATCACAACTGAACAACTTACACTTCTTGTTCTATAAAGTCTATCTTTGTCTTGCATTATTATAGCTTTATTTCTGTATATTATTAGTTTTGTTCTTAGTTATTTGAAAAAGTGAAAAAGGTTTAAATACATTCTATAGCACTCACCTAGCAATACTAATTGGTGTTTTTAATTCCTTTCCAAATACGTATTGGACAAGTAATTAATTATACATCTTTAATATAAAAAGGAGTGATAGGATTCATCTAGTGAAGTCCACCCCTACTATTTGATAGAAAAACGAGCCACGAGGAAGACAAAATACTGAGAAGGATAACACAGTTGGTGGATTGGTTAAAACTGCAGATGAGCAAAAGCGTTTGCATTTGTGTTCATGACACTCAGAGCCACCCCACGTCATGGTCTCCGACATCCATCAGCCGCGCAGGTGTGGGAGGTGGGCCCGGGCTGCCCCGCCCCCCTCCCGCTTTTCCTCTGTTTCCCATTCTCTCGTCCTCCCTGAGCTCTCTTCCACCTTCTCTCCTCCCCGCCACCCTCTCACACACACTTTCACAGACACAGTCATGTAAGTCATCCCATTTTGTCAAGTTGATTCTACTCAGATTCAAAAAGGCGTGATCATTGGAACAAGGCAGGCAAAGCAAATCTACCTCTTATTTTTCTCCAGTTCCTTTTAAGCAGCACGGACAGCTTGTATTTATTGCATATAAATACACAATAATAAGTGTTCTGATGGTAGGATGCTCTGTATGGAATAAATTTATTATTTGAAGTAGTCATTAATAGGTACTCCTGCAGTCAGATTGTACCCTAACATAAAACTCAAAAGTGGAAATAAATACCTACCTAACTATAAGCTAAAATGTATATATTTCCCTAAAATATATTAGATAATAGTCTCAATTTTCATTCCTTTTTATTGGAAGATGTTTTTCAAAAAGCTATTACTTTATTAGGATAAAAAAATATAAAATCCACCCCAAAGTATATTTTTTCTTAGGTAGTATCAAGAATTAGCTATCCTGCCTTTTGATATAGCCTACTAATTATGTATTTGGGCAGAAGTTGTTATAAACTCACCACTTTTTCAGTACACAACTCTACTTGTAAATCTTTAGGGGTCTCCTCCCATTACCTGCGTTGGGATTCCAATGCTGTTCTTAATATAAAAATTATTTCTTACAAATAATTAAGGTAGGAAAATGAAGAATCTCTGGAGTATGAACTCTGAAGACAATAATTTGATTACATTTTTCAGAGATTACCAATCACTTAAATGTTTGACCTACTACTATTTCAGACATCTAAAGGGTAGCTCTAAAGATAGGATATAATCCAAAAAATGTTTATCAGCTAGAAGAGCAGAAGGGGTGGGGAGAAGTCCCACGAGGCCAACGTGAGAAGGACACTGTGTGTTCTACCCTGTTGAGGTCTTCCCACCAGCTCAACACTCACTGTATTGCATTTGGTTATTCTGCTGCACGTAAATGGCACAGCTTTGTGAATGGCATGCTTGCTGAGGTTCTTTTTATGTTAAATTTCTTTTTATAAACTTCTAGGTTGAAATAAACCTAAAACGATATCCAACTCCTTACCCAGAGGATTTAAAGAATATGGTAAAATCTGTTCAAAATCTGGTGGGTAAGCCGAGCCATGGAGTGCGTGTTGAGAATTCAAATCCAACTGCTAACACGGAGCAAACTGTGAAAGAAAAATTTGAACACAAGTGGCCGGTGGCCCCAAAGGAGATTACAGTGGAGGTATTTGAAGGTTATTGGTAATTGCCAGTGTGGTGTGGATTTTTCGGAATTCTAAAGGATATGTTTTTTTAACTGAATAGATCTTTCAGGATAAGTTCACTTTTTCCCTAAAATATAAATGATCTCTCTACTCTTTCCAACTATGAGGGTTGCAATTATTAAATCAGAAATAGGGGGCTGGGGATTTAGCTCAGCAGCAAAGCACCTGCCTGGCAAGCGCAAGGTCGTGAGTTCGGTTCCCAGTACCGGAGAAAAACCAAAAAAAAAAAAAAAAAAATCACAAATAAATGATACCTTCATATCCTGAAATCACAACACAGCTCCCAAAGTTCCAATACACACAGAATGAGTAGTTTCTCAGTTAAGTGGACCCAGCCAGTGACTGCATTATATTAGTGATATAATTTTGGATACCTCAAGCTTTTATTGTATACATCACTAGGAGAGACTAACTGAAGATTTTTCATTCTTAAAATTTCTGTAAAATTCTTAATCAGGCTTAGAGTAATTTTTTTCAATGTTTTCATGTTTGGGTCACAACTTTTATAGAAAATGTTGCTATTAACAAGAGAAAGAAGAAATGAGCTTAGATTTGTGGAATTTAGCCCTCCGAAGCCGAATTTCTCTATTTTTGAATGAATTAGAAATTCAACCTTATTGATTTGTGCAGTCTGAAAAGAATTCAACTACATTTATGCCACCTGTACTTTCTCATCAACTCTTCTGCTAATTTAATTATCATTTCTCTTATCTCCATTAGAAATCTAATTGGCATGAATGTCTAGAAGTTCATATTACTTCTCAAAAACTCTAGATTGATAAAACTCTTTTACAAATCTGCATTTCAAACGATGTGTTGCATTTGTGAATCACCAACTGTAACTGTAGCACTGTGCTAGACACGTGAGAGAAGAAGAAATATAAAATGTCTCCGGAGTCCCCGAGTAATTTAAAGTGTAGTCAGATAAACATAATACATACGAAGTGATCAGAGAACACTTTCATAAAGTTTGATCTCATGATGGGTTGCATGGTGGAAAATGTAACACAGTAAGTTAGGCCTGAAGTGAATATTAAAGATTGGGTGGTTCTTTGCCAGTGAAAAGCAAGGGAAACATAGTAGGTAAAAGGAAGACGTTAAGCAAAAGTAAGTACAACATGCCCACTTGTTGGCAGAAATATCTGTCCCAGGAGGGGAGACTGCAACTGGGTATTGAAGGAAGAGAATTTCTTAAGTATTTCTTCTCATGGCTTTTAGTTGATAAAATGATAATTGTGTTTTCACTTTTCCAAGACGGATATTATTTTATCTCTAATATATTACAAACATATAAAAAAGACAGAAGCTAATATTTTAAAATACACTAAATACATATATACTTTATTTTTAAATCTCATGTAACCACAGTTTAAAATCAAAGTAACTGTGGTGTCATGAAAATCTTTAAGCGAAGTAAATTTTACTATAAAAATAAGATGATCCTCAAATTGCTTAATTGGGGATTAAGCCAAGGCAGGGAAAAGATAGCTTAGGTCATGAATTTAATAATGATCCTGCAGTAGAGCTAATAAATCTTAAATTTGTCCCACGAGCACTTCAAGCTTACCAAATCCAACATTCAGTCAAAGTGTTTCTTTACCAAACTTGTTTCCGGTATTCTTGATCTTGATCTCAGCTGGTAGCTTTATCTACCAGTTCTTTCAGCCGAGAAATCTGAGAGGTAGCCTGATTTCTATCTCCTTCTTTCCTGCCTTCCTCGTGCCTTTCAAATCATTACCAAAGTCTTAGATTTTTTTCACCAGAGGTAATCTCAAGTCCTCTACTCTGTCCTTCTCTTCTGTAAAAAACCTCAATTTCATGGCTTAGCTTGTCTCTGACCTCCTCATTGCCTCTGCTGAGATCTGTCTAAAAACAGCACAAATCTAATCACACCCTTGCCCTCCACGGCAGTGTTTCCGTACGCCTCCAGAGAATCCAAGTTTCCTAATTAGCTAGAGTACACTGTTTAAGTGGGGGTCAAACAAAACCTCACCTTTCAGCTTTACATTTAATTTCGTGGTTTGCCCCACCCTTTGCTTAGTTCCCTATGACTGCTTTTCCCCTTGAAGAGAGATTTCCTGGCAATTTCAATGTTTTCTCTAAAAGCAAGATTCTAGATCTTTTAGCCATGCTAGCAAGGAGAAGCTATTGCTTCCTGTGTAGTCCTCCGGCCTCAAATTCAAGGCAGCTGAATTGAGACTCACACTTCATTCTTTCAATGTCTGTATTTAATAAATATCAATAAATCAACCATCAGTCACACCATGGAGACTAACCATTTATTCTGTGTTTTGCACACCTCTACCATTTAGTCATTATTATTTAGTTCTTACTGCCAGGAATGTGGAAGAGGGTATTTCATGATACAGTGCATCATATATTTATCCACATGCCTAAATATAAAAGGCTAGGAGAGAAAAAAATAGAGGTTGGCAGGAGCCAAAGCAAAACCAGAAAGGTAAATAGATTATAAACCCAGCCAAAGAAGGGGAAAAGGAAAGGTAACCAGCATTTATTGCCCTCTCTTTACTTGCTGTATTTGTGCCGAGAGTTTTAATAGATGTTATGCTAATTGAAGAACAGACTCGGGAGGCCATAAGAACAAAAACAGGTCTCTAAGAAGGTTTCCATGTCGTCCTATTTTCCCTTATAATACCTTCTGGAGACTGTACAGTATCTGGGTTTTCCAAATGCTCCTCGTATGGCTAGCATGTCCTCATCCTTCACGTTTCAATTGGAAGTCACCTCAACAGCAAGACCTTTCCTGTTCACCCTGACCAGTCAGACTCTGATTTTTCTCTGCTCTCTCACCTGTGTCTTTATATGAAATAGAAGAAACACGTGTATGGTTACTTTGCTTATGGACTTTTCACAAGCTCAGGGACTGTTTCTATCTTGTCTGTCATTATACGGATAGTCCCTGATTTAAGACAGTTGGATTTAGAATTTTTCAGCTGCATAATGCTACAGAAGCATGTGCCTTCAGTAGAACCATACTTCAGATTTTGGATATTGTTCTTTTCCTGGGCTAGCAATAAGTGGTGTACTATCCTCTCATGATACTGGGCAACAGCAGCAAGACGCAACTTTCAGCCAGCCATGGGATCACCAGCGATCATCCACAGGGTGATGCCTTGCCAGGTTATGATGCTTGGTACCAGTTGGCCATGTATATTAAATGCATTGAGTCTTATAGATAGTTTTAACTCATAATGAGTTGATTGCAACAGAACGCAATTGTAAATTGAGGAACATCTGTGTACCCAGGGCCCCACCCACTACTTGCTACAGACTAAAATATTGTTGAATAAGTTGATGATTGATACAGTCCAGTAGTATGATTCTGTTAATATGTCTGCCTCACCATACAATCAGAAGTTTGTTGAAGTCAAGACAATTTCTGGCATTTGTTGATTGTTGGCTGCCTTGCTTACCCATACTTTGCACGTGTGCATTGAATGCACTCCTAGTATATGAATGCCCTTAGTGTCGCTTAGGACAGTGACCCAAGACCAAAATAAATATTTAACAGCTCCAATTAAATAGATAGAGGTTAATAAATATTTATGTTCAGCTAAGTGGTCTTTTGGAAAATAATACATAATACACATAAATTGGGGAAGAAAATATTTTTGTCTTTTTCTTAAAATAAATAAAGCCAAATTATTACTCAGGTGCAGGCACATATTGGGCATCACCTCCCTTCTCAAACCTGAAATCACGATGGGCACTACAGGACTAATTCTTGCTTCATGAGGGTGCTCATCAGAACCAAAGTGTGGTCCAGGGTTGAAAGTGAGAGCTGGGAGGTTGCCCAGTGTATGACTGATGTCAAGTACTTCTTGGTCTCCAGCAGACACTTACTATAACCCACAATGCACCTCAGAGCATAGTTCATGACCAAATTGAAGGGTGCCTTTTAAGCCTAGCAGACACGAACTGAAATCTTTGGTTTACCTGGTTACCAATTACAGGCTTTCACAAGTCAAGAAAACTTTCTGAGCCTTGGTTTCTGATCTTTAAAAAGAAAGATAATATTAGCGCACTTTCAGAGTTCTGTGGCAATTAAATCAGATGATAACTAAAGGAGGCTAGAGTCAGTGATAATTCCTGCTAGTTCCTCAAGAGATTGGTGTGCTGATTCTTGCCCTGTCTTCCTTTAATCCTCCGTGGGTTACCAGCCAGACACCTGTTCGCCCTGTCTACTGTATTCAAAACTGTTCTGAACCTTTCCCTCCTTAGAAGACTTAGCCCAATTCCCTCTGCAGAAGAACCATATCTTTCCCCCAATAATACAAAATAATCAACTAGCCTTGAATATTTTCTTACATTCCTTTTATTACTGTAAGGTGTGGACTCTCAAAAATTCAGAAATAGCTTCTTTGTTTCCCTTTGACATCTACCATAGGATCCCTCTCTATGACAGTAATAGTCAAGATTTAATTTCAACAGTAGAAAGACAATGAGATAAAAAGAAATCCTACCTTTTCCTCTCACTTGTCACCCTTTTATCTCCTCACCAGAGGAAATACATTTCAGTGTGCTTATAATGAGACTCCTACTACATTTATCTACCAGTAACCTGCACAGTTTTCACCCACTGAAATAGTCCCAGATTGTCAACCTACTTTTCCAACAAAACTAGATTTCTCTACCCTCTAAAAGAGGATTTCTAGGACAAAGCCAATGATTAATTTCCCTTTCAGGATGGTTAACTTTGTTCAGTGAAGCCCATTTAGGAAATGAGCATTTCTTGGGTAGATAATATATATGGTAGACAAGTAATTATAGAAGAGCATCAAGCTTGACAGACCCGAGTTCAAATCCTGACTCCATCACTTAAGTGTATGATTTGGAATAGTGCTTTTACCTCACTATGCTGCCCTTAGAACAAAGATAATATTAATAAGTATATTTTAAAGTAATACATCATGAAATGGTTATCTTTTAAATAACTAACAGAGATAGGATTGATAGTGTTCAGCAGAGTAGTACAATTGCAGACATGTGATCTATGCTCTGTAACGGAGATTCATCACAATCTTCACTGCCAGTACTTTGCACATAAAGATGAAAGCCTTCGCCTGGATCTGTGCAGTCTTGCATTCTTGCCTAGCAGTGTTCTGCTTTGACACGGAGAATCACAGGACTCTGGAGAAAAGATGCAAAGTCATGATGACTTGATAACCGTATTCTTTCCCTGGTGACCAGGGCTACTTTTGATTCACAAACAGAAGTTCTTGACCAATGTCAGAAATTTACACGTGAGTTAGACCATAGCTACCAGTAACCTGCACAGTTAGACCATAGCTACTATGCAGAGTTCTGGTCACAACTTTAGGTGAAAGTTTCGTCAAGACAAACTAGATCACTTGAACATCAACTGTGTAGGACATAAGGAGAGAAGACTGGAATGTTTAGTAGTAGTATGATTTTGCATTCATACAAATGTTTGTTTTATTTTACTGTATCTCTAGCTTGGGTTTTTTTTCTTTAGTAAAATAATTTCTGTATTTTATTGCCATACAGTTTCCTTTCTAATTATTATTTCATACAAATCATTTACCTTTAGTTTCATAAAATGTTACACCAGACATAAATTAGCACTGATTTCTATCTCTCACCTTGATCATGGAAGTACACTAACTTATCCAAGAAAACCTGACTATACAGCAGGAATAGAAAATAATATGACAACTTGTAACCCAAATGTTTTGACAAGTCCATGTATTCTATGCCTTTCTCAGAGCTGCTTCTTAAACTTGCATCTTCTTATAAATTTCTCCAGGGATGTACAAAGACTTCTTCCATATCATGTCACTCTAACACTTGATCAGAAGTTTCTTATGTTGAACTTTGAACTTATTTTCAAAATGCATAAAAATACATTTTCTCTGTTTAACCCCAGGATTTCCACTCTTTCCTATCCCCCTTCAAATTGGATTCTTCATTTTATACCTGTACTGCTCCCTTACCTGGACAGGGGAAGATCACCGAGCCAGAAGCCAGGAGATTGTGTCCCAGGACTGTGTAGTGCGTACTTTGTCTGTGTGAGCCCACACCTGGGCTGGGTCTCAGAATCTTCCTCTAGACAATGACAGAGTTAGCCTAATGATCTTGCAGTCTGCTTCTGTTAAAAAATGTTGACAAATATTAGATATATTAACATCTGATGGATTTTCACAGCAAAAGTTTCTATATAAATCTAGGATGAAAGAGAGAAAGGAACAAAAAAACGAAGGAAGGAAGGAAAGAAGAAAAGAATGTAGAAAGGCAGGCTGTCACTACAGGGGTACTTGGCAACATATAAAATATATAATAAGGATTTCCATCAGTTGATTACACCAACCAGTTAAGTATTCAGCAGGTCTTTTTGAATTTCTGAAATTTGTCCTCAGGTATTTTCTTTGTCTAACTTAACAAAATAGTTCTGAATGTGTTAGTTTGATGTTCCAAATTAATAAAATACTAACAAATGAAATAGCTGAAAATTTTTTGAACTTAAATTGATGTGAAATTTAATAAAAACAGATATAAAGATAGCTAGCATGCATAAATTTCTACAGCTACTTATAGGCATAAACAAAGCATTCTTATAGCTAAAGGAAAAGAGGTGGCTGTTATTTTGCCATTTCTAATGCTGTCCCACTCACTGCTTGGTTAACTGGAGTCACAACCTGAATTATAGATGTCTCAAATCTGTGGGTGTCTTCCACATTCATTTGTGATGATAAAGTTATATTCTTACACCACTGTGGGGCATTACACTCAAGGAATGGATTCCAGGATGAATATTTGACAGCCTAGGTTGGGCATGAGAAAACTGGAAATTTTAGTGAGAAATAATGGTAGAACTAAAGCAGTCGAGGAGACAACCATGTGGACAGTACTAAGAATTAAGAGGAAGAGCTACAGAGCAGGATTTACAGGACCCAAGAGAGCATTAGCGTGGCTAGCAATGCAAAGCATCCAGTTGATCCATGATACACTTGAACTGGAACTCGGGCAGCTTGCCCCAGGAACCCTTCCGTATACAAACGCTGTGCACCTGTATGGAATTACTATTCATGGAGGGCTCATCTTGATTCAGTCCTGTTGAAAAGTGAGTTCTGTCTCATCTCCCCAACTGGACTGTCAATTCCCAGGGGGCCACATTTTGTCTTTCTTTGGAAACTCCACGGTTCTTTGCACAGTGCCAGGTATATAAACAGTATTGGAAAATATGTCTGATGAATAAAGGGACTCACTTAAATTAGAAAAAGAACTTTGTGCTCAACTCAGAGATACATGTGGTTCATTTTTCCCAGTGCCCCACTTTGAACTACCTCCTAGAGCCACGTCTTTGAATCTCAGACAGATAAAGATATTGCCGTCTTGGTTAACCATTGTTTAAATGTTTACTTTCCTTGTCCTGTATTATTATATCTCTCAGGATTCTTTTGTTCATCCAGCTAATGAAATGAGGATTGGGGAACTTCACCCTTCATTAGCTGAGACCCCTCTGTACCCACCCAAACTTGTTCTGCTAGGGAAGGACAAAAAAGGTAACATCGTGACCCTGCTGTTCAAAATACGCTGCCAATGCATGTGCATGACGATCCACCAGTTGTAAATTTTATGACGTACCATAGTCTGTAAAACTTTTTTACAAGTACGTATTTCTAACATTAATCAGTGTGGAATCTGTTTTTCATACTTACTTTTCTGTGTTTGTAGTTGTTGTTGGTCGTAGCATTATAACATGTTTCCCCTTTAAATTTCAGAATCAACTGATGAGTCTGAAGTTGACAAAACTCACTGTCTGAATAACAGTGTTTCCTCAGGCACTTACTCAGACTACTCGCCCTCCCAGGCTTCCTCAGGATCCTCTAACACCCGGGTTAAAGTGGGGTCCTTGCAGACAACAGCTAAAGATGCAGTTCATAATTCTTTGTGGGGTAACAGGTGTGTTGAGCATTCCCACTGTTCTGTTCCCAAATGTTTATTTTCAGCAACTTTTTTTAATGGAATCTTCTTAATCCTGGGATTGTATTCAGCCCACGAGTGGCATAGAAGACACCAGGGGCAGGTAAGCAGATGTAGTGCACCTGGGATTTCCCAGAGCGGATGGACCCAGCTTACGGGGTGAGGTCATTGGTGAAGCGAGAGATGGTAGGAGACTCACAGACCATCGGGTGCTCAGGACCAAACTTAGAAGTCAAAGATTATGTTTGACCAACACATGCTGATGAGGCACATGGATAGTTCAAGATCCAGAATGGTTTTATAAATGAAAATGAGATCTATCTAAAGCACATATGTGCCTGGCAAAAGGGAAAATATCCAAACAATTTTCATTACCAGTGTCCTTGTCATCATTTTATCACAACTTGGAGTGAAGAGATACGCAAAGGTCCTTGATCTTCCCAAAATGCCTCCTTCTCTACATTACCTCCATTTTATAGGTGAAAAACACAAAACAAAAAATGTAGCACAGTAAAATGATTCTGAGGCAGTTTTTTCCCTCTTTTAATTCACTTTGTAATTTGTTGCTACAGTTTACACTATAAGTAGCAAATATGAATTGTCCTATGAGGTAAGTAGTGAATAACTTTTGCTCTCGCTCATATATTAACTGACAATATTACCACACATGGCAATGTTTTCTTTAGTACTTGATGACTAATTTCTATTCATCAGTGCCCTTGATAAAAATCTTAAAGTCTGTAAAATCATAATTGTTATATGAGCTGAGATTGGTGTAGGCACTTTTGGAAGATCTCTTCTAAATTCATTTTTTTCCAATTAGCAGAAGAACATAAAAGCCATTGTCTCACTAAAAATGGTATAATTCAGTATTATTAGTATGTAATTGGTTTAGAATAAACTTGAAAAATGATCATATGCTAGAAATGTGCTAGAGATGGCCCCTTATGTAAACAAACCAGTAAGCTGACGGCATAGTATGATTTCCATTCTAAAGAAAGGCACCAAAATTTCTCTCTATTCAACAGTACTGAATGTCTTCAAGACATAGCCTTACTAAAGACAATTTGGGTTCACTAGCTATACCATGACTTGTTATTTCTGTCATTAGCTTAGAAAAGTGTGGAGTCAAAATCTGCAGGGATGAGTACTAGAAGTCAAATGATTCTAATTATCAATTAGGTTTCAGGGCTGTCACTAGAGATTCATACATTTCATTCATTCCTTCCTTCATTCATTCATTCCTTCAACATATATTGTTTATCCCTACTATGTGCTCTGCACTATTCTGAGCCTGGACGGAAAATGATTTCCGCCCCCAAGAATTTGCATTCCCGCAGAGGACACAAGATGGTCAATATAATAAAATATCATGGGAACGTAAATGTTATACTATGCTAGAAGAGGGTGGTACTAGGAAGAAGTAAACGTTAGTGCAGATTTATTTTGTAGGGGACATGAAATGATGACACAATGTTATCTTAATCATAATGCAGGTGAGGATGAAAAATCAGCTTCCCAAAGGATGGTGCCCTGCTGTGCTATTTGCTTGCTTTCTGGCACGGACCCACTTCTCTTCACATCTGTGTTTCTTCTCCCCCTTGTGTTCACAGGATTGCACAGTCTTTCCCACAGCCTCTGGACGCAAAGCCATTACTCAGCCAGCGGGAGGCTGTTCCCCCGGGGAATCTGCCACAGCGACCTGATCGGCTGCCAATGAGTGATGCTTTTCCTGACAACTGGACTGATGGCTCCCACTACGACAACACGGGCTTTGTCGCTGAGGAGTCCGCGGGCGAGAGCGCCAACAGTAACCCTCTGTTAAGCGCGAAGGCAAGAAACGCAGCTCCTCATGGACGCAGGCCTCTGATCAGGCAGGAGAGGATTGTTGGTGTCCCCCTGGAACTGGAACAGTCCACGCACAGACACACACCAGAAACAGAAGTGCCTCCTTCCAATCCCTGGCAGAATTGGACCAGAACCCCTAGTCCGTTTGAAGACAGGACTGCTTTTCCCTCCAAATTAGAGACAACCCCTACGACTAGTCCTTTGCCCGACAGGAAAGAACATCTGAAAGAATCTACGGAAATACCCAGCCCTTTTTCTCCAGGAGTGCCATGGGAGTATCACGATTCCAATTCCAACAGGAGTCTTGGTAACGTCTTCTCTCAAATCCACTGCCGCCCGGATTCTTCTAAAGGTGTTATTTCAATTAGCAAAAGCACAGAGAGGCTTTCCCCACTTATGAAAGATATAAAGTCCAACAAATTCAAAAAGTCGCAGAGTATCGATGAGATTGACATTGGTACCTACAAGGTTTATAACATACCATTAGAAAACTACGCCTCTGGGAGTGAGCACTTAGGAAGCCACGAACGACCGGACAAGATGCTGGGCCTAGAGCACGGCATGTCCAGTATGTCTCGAAGCCAGTCCGTGCCCATGCTGGATGACGAAATGCTCACTTACGGAGGCAGTAAGGGGCCGCAGCAACAGAAAGCTTCTATGACAAAGAAAGTCTACCAGTTTGACCAAAGCTTCAACCCTCAAGGAGCCCTGGAAGTGAAAGCTGATAAGAGGATCCCGCCCCCTTTCCAGCACAATTCGGAGTATGTGCCACAGCCCAGCAAAAACATGGCCAAGGATCTGGTCAGCCCCAGGGCTTACCGAGGCTACCCACCCATGGAGCAGATGTTTTCCTTCTCCCAGCCCTCTGTCAACGAGGATGTTGTGGTGAACGCGCAGTTTGCAAGCCAGGGGAGCCGCGCCGGCTTCCTGAGGAGGGCTGACTCCCTGGCCAGCTCCACGGAAATGGCCATGTTCCGCAGGGTCAGTGAGCCCCACGAGCTGCCCCCCAGCGACAGGTACGGCAGACCCGCATATAGGGGAGGGCTGGATCGCCAAAGCAGCGTGTCAGTGACTGAGTCCCAGTTCCTCAAGAGGAATGGCAGGTATGAAGATGAACACCCTTCATATCAAGAAGTGAAAGCGCAGGCGGGAAGTTTTCCCGTTAAAAACCTTACCCAGAGGAGGCCGTTATCGGCCAGAAGCTACAGTACAGAGAGTTACGGGGCCTCCCAAACCAGGCCAGTTTCAGCTAGGCCTACTATGGCAGCTCTTTTGGAAAAAATACCATCTGACTATAACTTGGGTAACTATGGTGACAAGCCATCAGATAACAGTGATGTAAAGACGAGGCCTACTCCTGGGAAGGGAGAGGAGAGCTGTGGTAAAATGCCGGCAGACTGGAGACAACAGCTGCTTAGACATATAGAAGCTAGAAGGTTAGACAGGGTATGTTTGGCCTTTCTCTGTAAGAATATCCCTCCTGCCTTTAGTTTTGCTTTCTTGGCATTTCTAAGCACGTGTAGTAAAGCATGAACTACACGTATGAATAGATGGTCAGCATTTTATTTATGTTGACATTGTGGGGAAAACGGATCCTGATAGTTTTTTTTTTTTTCCGTGGGTGTTGCTTAATGCCTTCTGAGAATCCATAACCTGCAAGTGAATTATTTATCAAATCAAGCCTAAATATTGTTAGTAAAAATTGGACTCTATTATATGGGATGGTGGTACTAAAATTGCTTTCTAGCCATTAAGGCAAGCCAGATATCTCTCCTAGGACATGAAATTGTTCCCTAGTGACCAAAGGAGTATGATTTTTATTGAATCTATAAGAAGTGAGTCATTCGCCCTTTTCTGCAAGACTCACTTAGATTAAACTTGGGCATGATTTGTTTATAAAATTTGCACATACTTACTGCTATGGGACTACTAAAGTTATTACTTCTAATGAGCAATAATCTTCCCAGCAAGAAACAGAAAAATAAAATAAGCAGAGATTAAATGCCCTCCTACACACTATTTTATTTAATAAAATTTCTGCCATTTAGAATATGGGTTTTTATATAGAAGAAAATGTTTAAATTCCAATCATACTACAGACAACAAAAATAGATGGTGTCTTTATAAAGACGACAGATGTACAAATTAGCATGTATATTGTCGCAAAAAAAGGAAATTAATCCTAATTCAGTTAAAACTTGAGTCATAAAAAGTGTGGAATACACAGTGATTTGGGAGAGTCTTTTATAATTAGTTTTTGTGTCACCTGTTCAAATCTCTGTAAGAGAAGGCTGGTGCTTCATTCTCTCGAACAATTATCAATTTGCCACCAACACTCAAAACACTTCGTGGCTTCAGTGTAGAGGGCTTTGGGCACTCTGCATTGACATCAGAATCTTTAAGGTCCTTCCTGGGAAACTGAGACCTTTTGTTCTCATTTTCTAGATTTGAATGCTCTGTGTAAGTTGGGGATCTGGGTAATAATATGCTACAGAATGTTTCTGTGGATAGTTTGATGATTTTAGTTGGTGTCCCACAAAAAGCTCGGGCCACTACGTTTATGACATATTTCTTTAATGTGGCATTTTGTGTTTTCAGGTTTACGCTCTTTAAGTAATTGTATTATCTGTACGTCGTGTCTACATGACAAGGCACAGTTTTGTAGGGAAAGAATAAGCTAATAAATGTGGGTGTGGGTGTCAGTTTCTCAATGGGGAAATTGGTTCTGCCTCGCAAAATATTTCATCAGAATGTCTGTTTCAAATAGGTGTGCTCAGTCCCATTGAAGGGAGCCTCATCAAAGCCTCATGACTGGCTGTCAGTGGGAGACACCTGCTCGGTTGTCACCATGCCTTACCTCAAGTTATACCCTCCATGTAGACAGATAACTTGGAGGGCGAAAATATTTGGGGCCAAATAATACAGTACAGTTTGGAAACTCTGGCCTCGTGTAGACACGACCATACGTAACAGGGTAAGATGAACTAGCCAAGAAAGGTTGTGAGAAGCGTTTGTACAATGACTAGCAATTGGAGGCAACAGAGGAGCTGGTGAACACAGCATGAACATGAAGATAAAGCGCTAAGTTCTTTAGTACCGTTTACTTACTGTCGTCCTAGATAAATGTTTCCTCTCCTGTGATCAAACTTTGACGAAACAAGAATTCTAGGGTGGGTGGTGTGTAAGGATGGGGGAGAAGATCAGCCTAGGTCAGGAGACCCTGCCTGTCTTGGATGACTAAAAGTGAACTTGCGTATATTTTCCACTGCCACAACGACATTTCTCTTTTCAATTAGTCCACACATATCCCCTGTCCATTTATAGTTCCCTCAGCCTATCTTTAACTTTTTCAGAGCAGTTTTGGTATATACTCAATTTTCTTCCTTTCATTTTTTTTGTGATGATAGGGATCAAACCCAGGCTTCATACATGTAGGCAAATAAAGGCTCCACCACCGAGCCATGTCTCCAGCTCCCAAGACATGTTCAATCATTTCTTATTTAATTCCCAAAAATGAAATTTCCATAGGGCATTGTTTCAGGCCATCAGATCCTCAAGGCCCTTCTTCCTTCTGTTTTTTCCAAGTAATATTTCTTTCACCCTTTAAAGTGAGATACTGAGCAATTCAGGCCATTGCCTACTTAAAACTTCCCAGCTATTCGACAAGATGAGCTCTGAGTACTAAAGCACAGAGTTATTACATTGAACTGGTTTTGACATACTTGTGCTACTTAACATCCCACTCAAAGTCACACTGCACCAGAGACATAGAGTGCTTCTTTTCCACTGAAACTTAATTTGAACCCTGGAAACCAGACAGCTACTCTAGAAACTGAAGGATCTTTGTGTTTCCACATAGAAGACAACCGCCCAGAGATCTGCTCATTGGATGAGGTTTACAGTCCAATGTAATGTTGGCCAAAGGTCTCAGCTTTGACCTTGAAGAGGCAGCCCCCACACTACCCTAGATATAAGACTCTGTGGCCTCCTTTAATCTCATCATAACGCACATGATTCCGCTGTGCTCCACTGTGACTGAGAAATTAAAACCTGATCCCACATGTCTGAGGGTGCTGCACTTCTGTAGGAGCCGAAAGAGTGCTCGATTGGAGGACGCTAAGGAATCGTCCAAGTGTCAGATGAGATGCTTAGGGTCTTTTTTCACTTTTGGCATGTGACAATGAAAAATCTCTGTATGAACTAATCAGGAATCTATAACAAATATGATTCGTAGGCAAGCACATCATCAGGAGTAAAATAACCTTTCAGTGTAGCTCAATGAAACTTTGATAGTAAAAATCACTACTTTACAGATAACGCTCTGAGAATAAAATAGCTGCTTCCGTCAGTGCTCGATAACATTCAGTTAAGAAAAAACTGGACTAAGTTAACCTCTGTAGGTATTTTCTCCAAAATAAGAATTACTTAAAGAAGCCAAACACTGTTAGTGATGACAGTTTCATTGTTGGTTGAAGGCTTGATGACAGGACATTTAAAATGTTTTAATTTTTCAATGAAGTCCTGTGGGGGAAAATTATCACCCTTTAGTATAATTGTAGACACACCTGTTGAAGAGTAGCCATGATATAAACATCCCCAGACTGTTCTATAAATATTTAGGTGGATTAGATAAGTAACATTAATAATTCACAAAGTATGATTACTTCAGTATCATTATGAAACTTCTCTACTTTAAAATGTAATTTTGAAAAATAGAATATCTGATCCACATCCAGCTTATTTGATTGGCACTCCTGAATTAATAAGTAAATTCAATCAAACCAAAGATCAAATTGAATGAATTTTTTTGCCAGCTGTTTTTCTGAGTTGCTATAATTATGTCTCTAGACAGCGCAATTAAAAAACAGTGATTTTGATTTTAATATTGCAAAGTATTAGTTTAAGGCAGAATTAGAGGTTAACATTTGTCTTTCATGTGTGATGGTCTCACAATGAGAAAAAGACAGTGAAATTTTGTAGCTGATAGATTTGATTAAGTTCTCGCTATGTGAACTTATTTTCAAAGTGAATAGACTACCTAGATGACAATCCTTGTCCAAAGTCACTGCTATGGTGATGTTGAGCCTTTGCGTTATCAGCAAGTACCAACGGAACGTATCTTCCTTGCTTTTTGTCTTTCCTGTAGTTTTGGATGGTACCCATTATGTGCATAACTAACACTGTTTACTGTATGCTTTTGTCTGATCAAGTGCATGTGTGAAAAAGGAAGTTACTGTTTGCCCGCTTAAAGTTAAATGTTATAAATTTAAACATGTTCATGTAATAATCAGTTTGTGGAGCATGTGTTCACATCCTGTCACATGATTATTTCCTCTACTCAGAATGCTGCTTACAAACACAACACAGTTAACCTTGGCATGCTGCCCTATGGAGGTATTTCAGCAATGCATGCAGGCAGAAGCATGACTTTAAACTTGCAGACTAAGTCTAAATTTGATCATCAAGAACTACCTCTTCAGAAAGTAAGTATGGACTGCCCTACATGTGTCAGCATACCAAAGGCAATGAATGTTGTTTGTTCACTTAATGTATTTAGGCTGTACATATAACCCCATTTACTATAGACGCTCATGAGTGCAAAGAGCACAAGGGAAAATGATGTATAGCCTAAATTCTTAGCTGCTAAATGTATATTTGTAGCTAGACTGATTATCAGGTCTATGCTTTTTGGATTGAGCAGGTACGTGACTTTTTGTGTTTCTTTAGTTAAGGCTCATTTTCCTTATTCTTCTTCTTTTTCTTATTCTTTGTTTTTCTTTCTTTTGTATTTATTTGAAAGCCACAGACTCCTAATTACAATGGAGGTTAAATAGTGTTGGCATTTCCACGTACTTTTTTCGGTCCGCTTTCTTTGTGGGAGATATGGCACAGAAGCGAAAGCTAAGAAACAAGCTATTGGCCTGCCCAGCAATTGCTACTCTTCATGGGTTAATGGAAAGTTCACATCTCTTAAAATGAAAATATGGCCACATTTGAAAGGGAATATTCCATAGGAGGAAACATTTTCATTGTCAAAGAAACATTTCTGCTTGTTTTATTCAGGCAAAATTGAGAATGCCCATTTTAGCTGTTCACATTGATTATCCTTTTTAAACTTACATTTTGGTGGAGATTGATGAATCATTTTCATACAATGTGTCATTATGGCTATATATGAATATAATCAGTAGCCTATAATATTTTTATGAAAAAAGTAATGCAGTGATAAGAGAATGACAGTGTTCTCTAAGTAAGTCCTTTTTATAATACGAATGAAAATATGGAACAAATTCCCATCCCACCCAAATGAGGGTCATAAGATCTCAAATTCATGTTTTATTTTCAAATGAGTCTTTAATATTCTTTAACTCTAGATAATCTGTTCCTACCGTGGGCAATGTAAAAAAAAATTGAAGAGACACATATCCATATCTTTCTCAGCACCCGACATCCCTTCAGATACAAAAGAGAAAAAAACGCTGACTACACTGAGAACTTTTGAATATCGTTTCATCGGTCTTCAGTCTCCTATGGCATGACCACTGATGTACTGATAACCTTTGCTCCATTGAAAAAAACGAGTTTGTGACTCGCGATATTTGCTAATGTCAGTAATATAAGGACCCCACTATGACCAGTTGCACATCACTGACCTCAGAACCGGGGAGACCCATGCACAGCAGGCTCCAGGGCAAGCCCAGCGTGACTGCTGTTACCTGAATCCAGCAACAGTGCAGACTGTTCTTCGTGCCCTCTCAGCGGGAGAGGACATCCTTGCTGTCATCTTTTGTCCTGTGGAAACCAGTCTTCAACAAGGCCTTGAGACTTCTCTGCACTAAGAATAGATGAGCAGATGCAACTCAGATGAGCGCCTTCCCTAGAGAACATGGGTGGGGTAAACAGAAATCAAACTTCTAAACTGAAATTTCAAAATTCCTTGAGCAGATTAATGAGATCTTGGGATGAAAGAAGCTATTGCCTGACTCCCTGGAAATTATATCTAGTGGAAACTCCCCTACTTTGCTTAATTCTTGGCTTTTTGACTCATTGATCTACATCATGATATAGATACATACACTTCCTGAAAGAGACTGAAATGGTGTCCTCGAGGTCTGAATTATTCTCCAGATATAGATTAGGTACATCTGCACTGTGGTATTAATTTTCTGAGTGGTTCAGGGCACTCTAGAGAATGATTTCATTACCTATTATTGTAGCAATGAAATGCTCTGTAACAAACATAGTGCAGTTGTCACTGCAGACTTTTCAGCATTCTCTCTTGGGCCTGGAGTTGACCTCTAGGAATTCTCTTTGGAAATCACATTAAATTGCAAACAAAGAATAATGCAAGGACTGAGAGACTTCATAAATTTTCAATGCATTATTTCCCACCGGAGGAAAAGAAAAAGTTGGGAGAAGAAGAGGAAAAACAAGGGATGAAAGAAGCACACAGAAGGACCAGGATTCCATTCCCCAAATGATTTTATGATTCAAAAATTATCGGTTTAAGCACCAGGCATCTGTGAAGACTTTCCCACCCCAACACCAACCTATAAACCTTGTAAAGCACCGGGTGCTTTATCAGTTTCTTTAGTTACAGGTTCTTCTCCTAGGAGGTCCATTCTAAGTCTCCATCTTTTCACTTTGTGCCCAAGTGTATCCCAGCGGCAGAGCTTTGGTTTGACAATGTGTTTGTTTTTTCTGTCATCCATTAGAGTCAAACCTCTTAAAATGCAGTCTCCCAGACCTTCCATTCTTGGTACTACTGGTCTTTGCTAGCTGGTCCCTTGATATGAGGAAGGTATAGTTTCCCTGAACTCTTCCTGCCAGGAGAGGAGATAGACAAAAACCATTTTCCTTGGATTTTGAAATGCAAAAGCATCTATTACACTTTTGTCTCAGACAACAAAGCTGAGTGTCTCGGGCACGTAAGACTTCTTTGCAGCCTGTTACTGCAAAGTTCATTACCCATGAGAACTGGCACTAAAAAGCAAGGTAATATCAATTTATAAATATTACTAGTAAATAAAATTGACAAAATGGTTCATTCTTCTGGAGAAATTCTGGACCTGTCTCTATTATTCATAAAACTCTTGAATGATAATGTTGGCTGTTTCCATTTAGGTGGTATAAAATATTCTGAGGTGTCCGAGAAAGAAAGCATAAAGTTTCCTAAGGAATCCAAATGAAAGTCTTCCCGTCACACACATGTGGATGGTACCCTTTACCAGGGAGCAGGCAGGGCTGAAATTAGACCCCACCCTGTCCTCGCTGCTTGCCCAGCCTTGCCTCTTATATCTAGGAGAAAGAAGACCTCCTTTGAATTTCTTCTGCAGAACTATCTTTGAACAAATATGTAATCAACTAACTTGAAGATATAACTATTTCTGAATGAGATTAATACTTACAAAGCAAATAAATGATGAAAAGGAAAGATTACCCATGGCTTTGCCATGTATGTAAATTTTTCTGATTTTTTTCTCTCATTTATTAGATGTCAGGTCAAGGTTAAAAGCAAATAAGAGCTTCATTTTCTATGACCATTTCGTAAAACCCTTTAAGATAATAAAACAAATGCCAACAGATACAAGAAAATTAGTTTCATGAATTAATTGCCTTTAATAATTCCATTTATTAATGTTTATGCTAATTTTCTATAGATTTTCATAGTATTTATGAACTAGAACATTTGGTATATAAGTTAACTATTCAGTTACAGAGTTGTCACTATTTTTATTTTTCTTTGTTCCTTTATTCATTTATCATTTATTTACTGCCTTTCCAAAAAGCATTTAAAGCAACTTTCTATAACATTATTAATGGTTCCATGTGCTTCCTTGGATGTGTTCTACTGTAATTGAGCTTAGCTATTGTCTTGAAACTTTATGTTATCAGAGAGAAATACAGCATTGTAAAAAAAAAATGCCAGCTTAAACTACCATTTTAATTATCCAGATTAGTGGTAGAATAAATAGATATTTGTATTGGGAGAAAAACAAAGACCAGGAATTATTCAGAATATGTTGTGTACCTGGTGCCGTGAGGTACTCTAGATATGCTTTTTTCTTGCAACTCATAAAAACCCTCAAAAGGTATATTTATGATGAGTAAACTGAGGCTCATGTTCACACAGATGTCACCTCTGCTTTCATGATTTTACTGTTGTTATCCCCTGTACCTGGAATGTAAATCTAATGCTCCTTGGTACCCAAACCCATGTTCCTTCTACTATATAATGTTGTCCTCTCAAATGTTATAAAACCCAACATTTTCCTAGAACATGACTCATGACGGCCGATAAACGGCCTTCATATGCGCTATTATCCCAGCTTGTCTTCAAAACAATCCAAAGTAGGTATTATGGAATTGGAAAAGAAAGGTACACGAAATAGAATATTTTAACTAACCCAACAACCTGTGACCCTAGGCATTCCCTGGGGACCACAAGTACAGTGCTTTTAGTCAGAGGAGCTTAGTGACGCGGTGATTACCTTGTGCTTTTCAGATCCGCTTGCATTTCCGGAACTTCTGTTATCACTAAGAAATATGTTTGGTAGTGATGCAAGGTCAAACATTACAGACTAAGAAACATTACATGTTAATCTCCAGACTACTGTAGCCCAGAAACAATCAGGGCTGGGGGAGAAATTGGCCTTTTCTAACTCCCAGTCTAAAGATGTCTGGCTGCCGGTATAAATAGTGTGTTCTCTGCAACACTGAAGAAATTTATTATTTTCTCTTTCTATTCTTTTTCATTAATTTCCATTGACATAATATTATATCATAGAATCTATTGCTTATTGGCTTATAGAATCAGACACTGAAGTAAATTAATTATAATTTCAGGAGGAAAGAGACTGAAGTCATGGAAATGTATGTATGAAATAATTGTTTCACAGAGTTTTGCCTGGAAGAAAATGACCTCACTAACTTTTTTATTACTTGACAGCTTAGCTGATATTCATCTCACCAGCTTTGAGTTAGAGAAATTCTATTAGCAATATTTGTGCCTAAACTATTTTTAAATTATAATGTTCTTTTTTACTGTACCTGTGCAGATGACTCAGGATCAGACCGAACCATGATTTGGTATACATTTATTCACCCCTATGCCAAGGGTTATCTAATTAATGCCATTTTTTCTCCTGCTGAAATCCAAGAAAAATTTATGCTGGACCTCAGGGCAATTCATGCCTATAATTCCTATTGATTTTGTTGCATTTATTATTGGCTACCTATCCCTCAAGAAAGATTTGCTTACCTTTCTAATTATGAAAAAAGCCTTCATTCTGTAAGTTCACATAAATCCTCAAAGACAGTGGCTAAAATTACCAAAATAATGCTAGTACTTATATTGCTGCTTCATCATCATAATGAAATGCTCGTTTAAAACTCACTTGGGCATTACATTACCACCTTCAGAATGAACCCTATGAAATCGTAATTTTTTAGAACTTAGTTCAGCATATATTTGCCTTTGGAATACTTTTTCCTGAAGGCATGTTGAAAAAAATAATAAGCTCACTGGAAATACTTCAGGGCCAATGGTTTTTAACACTTTTTAATTCATGGTAATGCTCTCAATGAACTTTGTGACCATTGCTAAACAAAATAGGTATTTAGTTTTGTAAAGAATGTGCCCCAAGACATACTACAAAGTGCCAAATTCTGCTTTCTGTCTTAGATAATTTTTACTGCAAAATAGCAATAAATATTATCTCAAAAGCACACCGTGCAACCATCCATTAGCAGACAAGACTGAGGCTGCTTGATCAGCTAAGCTCACTGGCTTTCTTGAGTTAATGCTATTGATATATGCTCACATGCATATTCATACATGCAGACATACATATATGCACACATTTCCATGTGCAAACATGCAGATATCGGGAAATGCATGCATTCATGTACATTCATGTCTCAGTAAAATTAGAAATTACTTCTTTTCATGTACACTCGTGATTATTCATGGTAGCCAAAATCATAAATTTTAAATCTACAAATATCAGCACTAGACCAGCACTAGCATCTGTTCAACAACATCTCTACTCAATATTACTGCACTTTTTACCAAATTTAAAATTTTTGCTTTTTCACTAAATCACACTGGCCATGTCCTCTATTGCTTTGAAATATTAAAGACCCACAGAACTTAAAATGTAGTAGTGCATGTGACGTTTTCCATGTTCTTCGTCTTGAGATGCTTATACGTATTGGCGGGGATAAGATTCAACCTTCAAAGTATCTAAATAAAATATCAAGAACATGCGATGAGAAATAAGTAAATGAATAACTGAACCTCACTTTGGTTACTTTATCTGGAATACTAAATTCAATAGTTACAGCTTTTTTTCACTTTTTCAGTTGCTCCTTTTGTATCTCAGAGAATTTCAATAGCTAAGCAGCTGAATTTATACACAATAGGTATACGTTTTAGAAAAAGGATGAGAATATATTCTCTGTCCTCTCTGCCACCTCCCAAGAGCAACCAATTGTTTTTATGGACTTTTTTATTTCTTCAGACTTAAATTCCTCCTACAGTGCCTCATTTAAGAAAAAACAAAATGGCAGGTCATTCTTGAAATTAATAAAGGAAATTGCTCTCAGGAAATCCCTTTAACTTTGCTGTCTGATGAAAATATCTTTTTAATGTGTGTGCATGTTTATGTTCCCTTTCTGCCCTGCATTACAGAAGAATCTATGTGGTGCTTAACTGTAATTTTAAAAAGAAGGAGATTAACTTATAAACTAGTAAAGAGCATGAACATTAGGATTTTGATAAAGGAGACTTCCCCTTTTTATGACAAAATGAATTTTGCAGTTCTCAGTTGCTCTCTAACGGTGACGAGGCATCATGTCTCGGTGGGTGAGGCAAGCATAGGAGAGGAAATACAGATGAGATGATAAAGAGAACAGCCAAGGAAATGTGTCTTGTAAACATATTAATCTTAAAAAGATAAACTTGAAAACAGACAACCAATGAATAGCTATCTCATTATCTTCAAATACCATTTTCTTTAAACATGTTAGCTACATTTGATTCTTCTAAAAACAAAATGAATTTATTCCTAAGTACTCCAAGACTTTATGTTCACTAACTTTTTTGTTTTTTACTTTTTACTTTCCAGTGGAATTATGAAAAAAAATTCACATGGCCAAAGTAAAGGAATGATTATTTTTTATATCCATTGAGTCCTAGGAAGACTTGATAGAGTCTCAGAATAAACCCACTGTAAAATATTCCCAAGAAATGCTTTTAAAAAATGTACATGTGGTCATAATCCAGATGCAGTGGTTATATAATTGGTTTTTAAAAGAGAACCAGTTAGAGCCATGCAGTAAGCCGCAGAAGCTTGACGTGCTGCCTGTCCGGTGACTGGCCCAGTTCCCCCACTAAGGTTGGAGGTCAGTTCCTCACGCAAATGCAGCTGTACACACACTCCCAGCAAGGCTTAACAGTACGGGTCCTCTAAACACCAGCAGAGAGTGGTAGCCACGTGAGAAGACCCCAGAAATCCCAGCAGCACATGTGCATCCTGAAGGTTAAGAGGGGAAAAGCCTTTGCAAAAGAAGTTTCACATACATGTGTGTGCATGTAGAAGAATATGAAGAATAGTGTACATACATGCACTGTATGTACCAATATAAATCTCCCCAGCAGAAGCTTTCTGATGGTCTGTGTTTGTGATTACTCGCTATTTCTCTCTTTAAAATAAGAAGTCCTCCTAAAATATCTAATACTAGGAATAATAAAAACAAAATATTATTATTTATTAAAAATAACAAGCAGGAAATCAGCCAAAAATAAAAAATCTATGAAGAGCTTAAACTTTATTTGTGTTTTATATATATATACATATGTACATATGCATATATATGTATGTATATATATATATGTTTGGTAATAAAAACTCATGATTTATTTTTACTATGATCTTATAGCATAATATTTTTGATATTGCTTTAACCTTTCTCCAAAGCTGTCAATAGCATCATCGTTCCATAAATTTTGCATTATGCCAGTTTTCATACTATTTTGGATTGGTGAAAGGCATATTCTCCCAGAATCATTACCACCTTATGTATTACAGTTTGGAATGTTATAAGTTCCATAGTATGGGTTACATGGTTTCAATTTATATTCTAAATGGTAAGACAATACTAAAGAGACAAGCTAGGCAAGTTTTAAATGTTGTAGTTTTTAACAAGTGATTGATTTTATTCTGATTATTTTTATTTAGGTACTATAAACAATTTAAAGTTTTCTAAATCAGTCAATAACTCTAAGATGTTTATTTTATTTGTATTTCTCACTCCTTCCAAAATGCTATAATTTAGAATTCAGATTCAGTAAATAGTGTCTAGTAATATTTTCAGTTAGGATATATTTTTTCTACAATCAAAATTAATTTTACCATAACTATTAGGGGCTCTTTTCAGAAAACTATGATAAAGTTCTATTACGTCACTAAAGAATGCCATACCATTTTTGTAATAGACCCCGTCCCAGCAAAGCAACATTTTAGACAATGGACAAGAAGATGTATCTCCTAGTGGCCAATGGAATCCTTATCCACTTGGGAGGCGGGATGTACCTCCGGACACCATTACTAAAAAGGTAACCAATTTCAAATTGATGACACAAACCATAAACCCTGTACATCCATCGTAATATGTAACCCATATCTGTGTCTTAACATCATTTCTAACTTTGTTGATAACTTTAGACAAAATATTCTTCTATTCTAAATTTCAGTTCACCGTAAGTACACTGAAAATTATGGGAAATGAACACTGCCAAGTGTTCAAAGCAGGTAATGAATGTTTGTAAACATCCTACCACCTCTGCAGATACTACAGTACCACTCTTAAGAGTATCGTAAGATACTCTCCCAAGTCCGTGTATAGAAAGGTATGTGACGTGTACTTCTGTCTCTCTTAGCTTCCACAGTGGGCTGCAGCCAATTTGCATAAAATAAATGTTGACCATAAAAAGGTGGATTTACCATTTGGAAAACCATAGCAATGCATTCAACAAGCATTTAGGAAGCAATAATATGTGCACTACTGTGTGTTAAACACTTGCCAGATGCTGGTGAAAGAAAAACAAAGACAATGCTTTGCATCTGGGGAAGAAGGCGAAGGGATAGTAGGCATTAATAATACTACCTGCTGGGTCACTGTGACCAGCGTAGAAAGAAAGCCATGAGCTGGGAGAAGATACTTACAGTATATGTTTAGGCTCAAGAGATTTGTATCCCATGGTACATTTTTTTAATTTTTATTTTAAAGAAAATAGTACCACAAAAACAACAATAGCAAAATACAAACAAAACAAAGCAAGGACATTAAAAATGGTACAATGGTTTCAAACCAAATGATATGGATTAACAGTGGTTGTTATATTACATGTTGTTACCTTCAGTGAAGTTGCTCAGATTACCAGATGTAAGAATAGAAAACTGATCAAATCATGAAAAGGAATAAGAAAATAATAATTTAAAAGAGCGTTAGCGACAATGCATAGTTTCACTACAGAGGACTGTAGGAGTTCACCGATGGTTGTTATACTGCAAATTGTTGTCATCACACACATTGCTCAGATTACCAGATATAAGCATGCAAAATTGGTCAGAATATAAGAAAAACTTTTTTAATCATTAACTGTTTCCCTCAACAAACCATCAGACACCAGCAGTACAGTTATGCCACCTATCCATATATATATTACACATTATATATTATGTTATTATATATTGTATAATATATTACATATTTTATATATTGTATATTGTATTATATGTGATATATTATATGGTAAATTATATATTTATATGTTATACAATTGTATATTGTATAATTGTATATTATATAATAATTATATAATATATAAGCCTATAATATATATATATAAAGTGCCTATTATATATATATATACATATATATATATGTTAGTACCTATATATATAAAGTACTAAGGCAACACACACATATATATATATGTGTCTGTTGCCTTAGTACTTTCTTTTTCTTCTTTCCCTCATCCAGTGTATTTTTTAAAACTCTTGCAAATCAATGAAAGACCACATATAACACAATTCTTTAAGTGGTGAAATACAAAGAAAATGAAGGAAGTGCATAAACATCGGCACAAAGCAGCCCTTTTACCCATGAGGGACGTGAAAAAGAGATGCCATCTTATGTTTTCCTCACTGGTAAGCGTGAAAGGGTTTGAAAAGCACAAGCTGTGTGCAAGTGCTGGAGCAAAGGAAACACTGTCATACCACTGGGAACGTAAAGCACAATCACTTTGGCAACAAATTACCTTGTGAAGATGAACATACACACACCTTACCTTCCCTAAAACCCTGAAGGTATTAAACTAGAAAAACTCTTGGACACATCATTGTAGATACTTGGTTTTTTTTTCTTTTGTCTTTTTGAGACAGGGCCACGCTATGCAGTTCAGGCTGGCCTTAAGCTCACTTTGTAGCCCAGGCTGGTCTTGAACTTGCAAGGATCCTCCTGCCTCAGCCTCCCGAGTGCTGGCATTATAGGTGTGCACCACCACACCCAGTTTACTCAAGTGTTTATGTTACTCTAATGCTTACATTACTAGGAAAATTAGGCAAACTCAAATGTCTATGAGCAGAAAGTATGTAAATTCTGTTATTCATACAAAAGTATAATTCACAGCAACAAAAATTAGTAAATCATTATTACCATAATATGTATAATAGATTAAACACATAATTTAAATGGGAAAAAGTTTCAAGAAATGGCACACATTAAAAATACTGTATTTGGGCCGGGGATATAGCTCAACTGCACAAGCGCCTGCCTGACAAGTGCAAAGTCCTGAGTTCAATTCCCAGTACAAAAAAAAAAAAAAAAAAATTAAAAATAGTATATTTACAAATCTTAGAAACAAGCAAAACTAAAACTGTTTAGCCATAAGTACATGAGTAAGAAGACTATTTCTAAAAGGATATAATAAACATAATACTTACAATTATGATTAGCTCTAAAGGGAAGTCGCAGGGGAAGACAGAGGAAGAGGCAAGGGGCATTGTGGGTATTGTTCCAATTCTTGAGTTCAGTTGTGGTTCTCACACTCTAGTTTTTAACCTCCAGAGAGTCTACTGGATGATTGAGCTTCATAATTTACATATTCATTATATAAATACACACATTGTTTATCATCTAGGTGAATTTCCCCCTTGATGGCTATGTCAGAGCTTTGGAATGATGTGAAATATCTAATTATTTTATCCAAAATAATAGATAATGCATTTCTTTGCAGGTGCTATGTATGTTATTAATTTGCCATTTGGGTAATATCGAGCACTACAGGTAAACATAATATGACACGATGAGTGCTATGAAGGTAGGGTATGGGTTATAATAGTACTTGGAAAGGACACCTGTTTAGAGAGGAAACAGCAAGTTGAAAAGAAAAATGGGGTCAAATAAGGCTAGAAAGATAAACAGAATATAAATCATTCTGGGCTTTATCCTGTGTAAAACTGAAAGAACAGTGAAGTATTTTAATCACGGAACGCGCATGATCAAATTTTCATGTAAAGAGCACACCAGCGGCTTTTCAGTGAATGAACCAGAGAGAAGAAAAACTAGGGGCAATGGAACCAGTTAAGAATCTTCCCAGGAATCCGGGTGAGAATGGATAGACAGTAAAGGGAAATAAAAGGATTTAACAGTTTCTTTAAAAGTAGAGACAAAAGCATCTTGTGATTCATTGGACATAGGTCCAGGCAATAACTAAAAATGTCAAGGTTGACATCAAGCTTTCTAACTTGGTCGTTAGTCCCATTCACTGGCATGGGAAATACAGAAAGAGTAATAGACAGACATGAAAGAAAAGAGGGAAGCTTGTGTTTTAGTACATGGATTTGAGGTATCCTCAGGGCATCTGGGTGGATATGTAAAGCGGATGTGTGATTATCTTGATCAGAAGCTCCCTGGAGAACTCTTAGATAGATATACACACTTAAGAGTCAGCAGAATGCATATGTAATTCAGTCATGAGTGAGAGCGAAGGCAGAATAGCCCCATGAGATATCAACACTGAAGAGAGGGTCTCAGGGAGAAGGGACAGAAAGGATAATCAGAGGCATTATCAAGATGGAGCTTTCTTTTGCAAACTGTAGAAAATTCAGAAGAAGCACCCTTGGGCAGTGAGGAAGTAGGTAGCTAACACAGGAGGTGATCAGTAGTCCTATATGGTTCTATAAGGTATTATTGACTTAGAGTTTTTTCCCTTTCCATTCTGCTATCATGCTGTCCTTGACTTTACCCTAAAACTGGTTCCTCTCCATTGTAAGATTATTTCCAATAATGATAGGTGACAGGAACTTCCTGTTTCAAATCCAGCAGGAGAGAGATACAAGTTTCCCATAATTGTTTCTTATGCACAAAACCTTTCTTCCTCAAATCTCTCAACAGCCTCTTCATACATCTCATTGACCCAAAAATCTAAAGACTTTCCATCTTTGCAAGAGGGATGCAGTTCTGTGTTTGGCTTCATCTAATCCATTGCGGTGGAACAGTTAGGGCTCTCAGCTTCAAAGACTGCTAAAAGGATGTAGACAGAAAAATGAGAAAGAGTGGCACCTTAAAAATGAATGTTTGGAGAGCATAGGCAACAGTGTCAAGTGATGCCAAAAGAAATTCAAGCAAGATAAGTATTGTCGAAAGACCCCTGGAATTTAGAAACCTGGAAAACTTGAGAAAGGAGTTTGTGAAAGAAAATAGCATAATTCACTGGAATGTGGAAGGCAATATAAGGAGCAGTAAGATGGTAGACATCTGACTGTAAAGGGTGAAAGGACGCTCACCCGTAACTGAGGGAAAGTTGGAAATACAGACAGGGAAAGAGGGACATTTGCTTTGTTATGAGAAAAGAGAGGATGTATGCCTTGGCAGGATGTGTACAGAGAACCTATTGGAGCAAAGGGCATATCGTGCAACCAAAGGAAGGAATTGTATTATGTAATTGCAGAGTTGCTATGCCTTATTCATTTATTGCCCTGCATGAAACTAGTAGATGTTTGCTTCATCCACACATACATCCAATTTATACAAAATCTGTTTCAAAGTCCGCAGTATTGTCTAATCACACCATCAACACAAATCATGATGATCATCCTCTCGCTTTAAGAACCCCACGTAATGCTACGATTGATTAAATATCTGTATCCTAGTTAATTTTGTAACGCTGAAATAATTCTTTATCTGAAAACTTCATTAATCTTTGTGCTTCTTGCCAAGTGTAAAATATGTGTAAGATATTTATCATGTCTTCAGTATATAATATCATTTGTATTTCCTGCTATTATGATAAATGCTTTTGATTACCCAATATTATTACAGTTTTGCCCCCTGGAATCCCAGCACTCAGGAGGTAGAGGCAGGAGGATTGCCATGAGTTTGAGGCCAGCCTGGACTACACAGTGTGTTCAAGGCCAGCCTGAATTACATAGTGAGACCTTGTCAAGAAAGAAAGAGAGAAAGAAAGAAAGAAAGAAAGAAAGAAAGAAAGAATATTGAAATTTTGCCTAAATCTGAAGTCTTAGAATCTACAAGTAGCTATGTCTACCTCTTGAGGAGGGGGTTCTTTCTTTCTTTCTTTTTTTCTTTCTTTCTTTCTTTCTTTCTTTCTTTCTTTCTTTCTTTCTTTCTTTCTTGAGACACAAGGTCTTGTTACATTGTCTAGGCTCATTGCAGTCCTCCTTTAGCTTCCGGAGCGTCTGGGACCATAAGTGTGTGCCGTCACACCCAGATTACCTCCCTGACCCCAGAAAAGAGACAGTGAAGAATGCTTTAAATATTCAAATTTAGGTTTTTGAATATTCTAATTGAATATGTCAAGTTAATATCAGTGAGAATTAACCTAAGAAAACAAAGACGGTAACAGAAGTATTAGCCTGGGTTACATAAATAAGTGTAATATTATCTATTCTGCATTGGGTTTATATTATACTGTGCAAGGAACTTTTTCAAAGTTAGTGTTATTTTTGCTGTTGTGGTGAACAGAGTGGTCATGAGGCTGGGTGGGAAAATAGAAAGACAGAAAGTGAACTAAAGTTAAACAGGAAACTGAAGGAGAGCAAGTGGTAAAAATTCTTAGGCTCATCCGCTCGAATCTATTTCTCAACACCTCTGCAGAAGCAGAAGCCTAGATCATCAGAAACTAGCAGGATGCTGCAGAGATTTGCTAGAAAGTCAGTTCTAGGGAAGGACTTGGATTGAACCCACGGCTGTCTGTTGTAGCTGCCGTCACTCTTTCATAACTAATATTTGTAATGCTCATGGCCGTGCCTTGCAAACAAATGAGGTTCCCTCCAAGCTGTAGACCCAAAGATTTAGACCCATAAAACAGACAAAGAGTGTTTGTCCCTTAAGGGTAGTTTTGCTCCTGTATCTTCCATCACTGTCCTGTGTACCTGAGACTGGCAGAGTGACAGGATGACATGGAGGGATGTAAATCCTCTCTTGTTTTTCTGACGATGTCATAGGAGGTGGTCGGTTTTATGTCCCCTCTTGCTATGCCAGTCCCCCAAACCTCAACTTTTGATATCCATTAATTCAAAAACTAATCACCGCTAAAGGAACATATTACTTTTATGTAAATGCCCTTCTCCCAAAAAAAATTGCAGGCAGTGCTACATACGTACTTCAAGAATTTTTGTCAAAAAAGTTTGCAGTGGCTGAAAGCAACCATGATTTCAGAAGCATTGCTATTTTAGAATTCTAATGCATCACTCTTCTCCGTCTATTGGATTATGCTGCAGTCACTATGGTAAGAAGATTAGATACTGTGCATTAAATCTTTATTCTGTGTCAGCCATCATGCTAAATGCTTTTGTGTATTGATATATTGCATCCTCCAGGCAATAAGGTAAGCACTACTATTTTATACGTTTTATGAAATACATGACCTAAACTCCTCTCCTGTACATAACAGAATATACCATGACGGTCATGGTGTAACAGATATATGCAAAAGCAATTGTTATTTTAAATTCAGACATTACACTCTGATTTGATCGAACTCTCTTCAGGAATGACAAGACTGTCCTAACTTGAAGATGACAGACTGTTTCAAAGTACTAGGAATTTTAAACAGGTTAAATGCCCCAGAAGAGATTTAAAATTAAAGGATAATACCCATAAGAGCACATTGAGATGCTGAGGCAGAAACATACAGCAGTAAAAAGGCCAACATGACTTAGTAAAAAAATTAAATTTCAGATACTTCCTTTCTGGAGTAGATAACCAAGAATTTATAAAACCCTAGTGATACAGAATCTCAATGTTCTTTGATATGGAAAGATAAGACATCTAAAAGTCTCTTTTATCATTCATTAGTAAGTTTTTTCCTGAATGTCTGTCTCTTCCTGAGTGTTTTAGGTTAAATTCATAATGATTTGGCATTGGAGAAATAAAGGGTGGACCTTCGGATGGGTACAGATGAAGAAAAAGGTATAAAAAATTTGCTATTAGTTTTGGCTCACAAAGCATACCCTTTACGCTAGATTTGCCTGTTTTTCTCTCATCTACAAGGTCAGCTCAGCCATAAACACTTTGGGATTGCCAACATTGTCAGGTGTAAGGCATGCTCAGGAATTTATCAGGAAGGACTAGAAAAAACAATGTGGGTTATATCATGGAAGGGGGTCATTTTCCTATTCTTAATATCTTTTTCTTCTCCCCTAATTCCAAATTGTAAATTTCCCTTTCTCAGAGCCATATGAAGTATTTCTTATATATTCTTACTAAGTTTCTGGGAAGATATATTTAATTTGGGCATTCATTATGCTTTTCAGCATGATATATTTCAGTGTTCCATTCTATGCACAAGTAGAAAGGTAAGATCTTCAGTATCTTTTGGAATCATAAATTGCTTTGCTCTTATCCATAGGGCTAAATCACCATTTGTGTTTTAAAACAACTGGACCAGATATCTCTGATTGGCCTTTTATTATGAAATAAGTCAGTCCTTGCCAAGAGTCAGGAAAACTTCAGGTCATTTCAAATAAGGAGATTTTTAAAGGTACAATATAAGAAAAGTCGCCTTAGCCTACATGTTTAGGAATTTAAATAAAAGCATTTTATTATTTTATCAATATCTTATCTAAAATATGTAATAGTTAAATTATATTAATTGAAAAATAACTTTCTCAGAACTTTTTTCCACCAAAAAGAAATTTCCACATAAGTAGCTATCAGTTAGCTATACCTGGGAAACCTGAATAAAAGTAAGGATCATTTTGGCTTCTGTGATTCAACTGAGGTTCAGCATAGTACTGCTGAGATCCCTTACTTCAAAAGGTGAGGAGGAATGTACCTCATTTGAATAAAACTAGAAGGAAGTCTGATTTAAATAAGAAAGAGAGATGAGGATTTAAATATTGGGATTGGCAAGACAGGAGAGCAGATCTTAAGCAGTCAGGGAATGGAGGAAGCAGATATGAAAATCAACAAGGCAAGCCTAGAAAGTAAGAGACAAAGCAAAAAGGCATACAGTTCTTTCAGGGTCAAAGTCAAGTATATCTGTTCTGTTCAGAGTAAACTTGGAAATGAAAAGTGACTCTAAATCTGACCGTCAGCACATCAGCCTGGCTTTCGCTTTGTGCAGTAGCAGCTGTGTCAGGCAGAGCAGGATTTGGCTTTGGCATTGCTAAGTTTTCCCTCCCAAAGAACGAGGCATTATGAACAATGAAGAACCACCAGGAGAATACCTTTACTCCACGAGTCCTCAAGCAAATGAGAAGAATCTTCTCCATCTCCTGAAAAATCCTGCCTTAGTCCTGGCTTCCCTGCACATCTCCTCTTCCTCAAGGCTCCTGATTCTCTTCGGAAATCACCAGATATTTCACGGGTCAGAATCAATTTTCCTTCTGGTTTCTGGGCAGTACAGAAAAGCCAAGTGGAATTCTTTGAAATGTGTTATGACCACGTCGATATGCGTGGTGATAATATATTCTATTAAGAAATGACTAAGGAATGATAGCTAGGAGAAGTACCAGCCAATGTTTGTTTATTTGTCTGCAGTAAGAACTCTTATTTAGAAATTAAGTATACTCTGGAAAAAAATCATAATTGATTATCACGTTATCTTTTCCAGAAGATTAATAAAACCATGGCTTTTATTGTACTAAGTAAGGGAATAAGAGTGCATCCATCCCATTAGATTCACCATTCCCCATAACTAAATTACTAACATAAGATAGTGACAGCATGTATATGTATATATAGTTTGCCAAAAAATGTAGATATCAAGAAAAGAAAAATTCATGTAAATATTTTAGTACTTAATTTATTGAGGCATCATGAGATTAACACAAGCCACCTTTGACCTCTACAATTACAAGAGGTGCTCAAAGTGGTGGCCATGAGTTTCCAGACGTTTATTAGGGCAGCAAACTACAAAAGTGTTCATACATTGTTCTGGTGGACTCTGGATACAGAAAAGAGAATGAGAGAGAGAGAGACTGTCTTAGTTACTTTTTTCTCGCTGCTGGGACAAAATACCTGACGCCCAAAATTAAGGAAGGAAAGGTTTATTTCGCTTACAGTTCGTGGAAGTTTCAATCCGTACTTGGCGATTATAAGGCAGAGTGGCACGTGGCAGAGGGCTGCATCTCAGGGCGGCAGCACACAGCTAAGCAGCAACCACACACCAGGGCAGAATCGGGGAGGAATCTCCCCAAGCAGCTTCCTCCTCTCCCTTACATATGCAAACTATCCACCCCAGGGCGGGTGTAGCTCTCACACCCATATTCAAACTCTAATAGCCTGCCCCAGGGCCGCAGGAGGCTTTGGGGGGACACACAGACATAAACCATAACAGAGACCTGATGGTTAAGCAAGGACTATTTGCTATTACTTACCAAAGCAAGAGTACCTGGCCTAAAGGAAGGAAAATGTTCATGAAAATGAGTCCTTCAGAAGCAGCTCTGTGATTTAGTAATTGCTGAATCAGGAAGAAGAGTTTGAGGAAATCAATGAGATAATTTCTTCTATCTAATGATCTATTTCAAATATTTATTTTGTTCATCTGAAGAGGTATGATGATATATTCTAATTAAGAGTATTATCTAACTCACAGATATGTTTAAGTTTTATTTCTATTATGTAATCAGATGTATTGAAATGAGGTACAGAGGAGGTTATGGAAATGTGAACGGAAAAATTCTCTTAAAGCAAAAGTGACCGCCAGATAAAAGACTGTTTAGTTTCACAGTCACTCTTGTATTGGATTTTTCTTACTCGAGGCAACATTATTCTCTCACAGATATATCCCTTTATCTCCTAATACCAGTGCAGCAGTACAGCTGTCTCTAGTAGTAAAAGACCTCACTGTCACAAAAATGGGGGATTTTTCTCATCTGACTTTAAGTTATTCCTTTACTAAAAGTGCAAACTCCAAAAAATGTCTATCAAGTAACTTTTAAATCGGAGGTAGAAAATAAACTTGCTACAGATTAAAGCAATTGGAAGAGTGACGGATTAAAATACCTAGTCCATCAATATTTGACATAGGTGTTCCTTAAGACAAATGACTATTTCTCCTTCATAAAATTGAGATAACTCGGCAACATTTATATAACCTTTGTTTTTTGAGAGAAATCTAAAAGCAGAAATGCAGAGTTAATAGAATGCACTAAAAATGTCCACAGTTGAATACATAATTTGAAGACCTACATAATATTGCAGCTGACAGCTGATTAAGGATCATTGCCAAATAGAAGAAGTCAAAGAGGGAAGATTCCTTTTCTTGCTACTGGGTCTTTATCAGACTTATTGCACTACCCACAGGTTCTTAGAACTCTTAAGAGTGAAAGAACTTATTGGCAAGCTATCATTATTGTTAACATCTTCCTTCTCGTTTTGTTTTATCTTAGGAATATGTACCAGTATCCCCACGACATATTGCAGATTGAAATGTGTAGGCTTAGATCTAATTTCATCATTCTGCCGTCATAGATGCTCTGTTGGTTTTTTGTTTCAGTTAATAATTTCCAATTCCATAGCTATGTTGGTGTTTATCACAGAAGAATGTGCTTGTAGGGACTGAATAGTTTAAACATGACTGCTCTCACATACATGGCAGCCCGCTTCCCTTCTGAGGCACAAACACTGAAGTCAAAAGCCTATTGCTTCCCCTTTTGATCTGATATTAGAGGTGCTAAAGTTTATCACCTGTATATGACTCTAAAAAATTCACTGCTCACAAGTATTTTTGAATACCGAAAAATACTTCCGTGTACCGGCAGCTAAACACTAATTTAAAAAGCAGAAAATATTCAGTTTGATACTCCAGTTGTCATAATCATATAAACAGTGTCTACGATACTAGGAGGTACTGTACTAACGTGCTTAGCTTAGACAATCTCGTATCATCCTCACAGCTTGTGTGAGGAGGAGCCGGGCCGTGGAACTGAGGACGTAGACTTGGAACCCGGTGTTATCTGAGTCTCTTACCTGCTCTCAACCACTGTCATACTGCTGTTACACTCGTATATTGGATCCTGCAGTCTACCAAGCTAAAAAGAAACCAAAAACATTGTAGAATAGTTCTGCTGTGGTATTGAATAACCCTTAATATGAGACACAGATTTGATATGTGTTTAGCTTGTACTTTTTGACGCAAGTTGGTGTAGTTTCTTCTCCTCCATCGTCAGTGAAGAGGAAGAAACTCTGGCACCAGCCATACGTCTTAAAAGAATCTCTTTAGTCCTCTTCATCTTGCTTTTCTTGCCCCCACACAAATCAAAATTTTTAGACATGCTGGAAAGCATCTGTCTTCCAAATTTTCATTTTTAATCTGAAACATTTGCAAGCTCTGCGCTCTCCATTGTGACTCAGAATGCACAGTACTCAGGAGTACTGTGAGTGAGGGCAGGTACTGGAGATCCTCCCTTCGTATGGTTAATTTTGTTTCTCAGTATGTTTTCCCATCACAACTCTTCAGTATATCACCTATGATTCCTGTCGCTCCTTCCCGCTGGAAAATGTCTCTAGTTTCCCGCCAGTGACCTAAGTTCTTTGGAGCCTTGGCACCAAAACTGCTTATGGAAGTGACAAAACTGCACTGTTGAGAAAATCCCCACAAGATGTCAATCAGATTAATATGTAAAAGCCAAACTATGGGGGCCAAGGATATAACTCAGTGGCACAGCACCTGCCTGGTACATACGAGGCGGTGAGTTCGATTCCCAGTACCAAAAACAAAGTCAAACCTCACACTAAGCTTCCATACAAACACTTCACATTTTTTCTAACTAACTAAGATTTTGCTTTTAAAACAAGCAAAAGCAAGAGAAGTTGTCAGCCTTAACTTTGCTTTAATGGGCACTAACTCTGTTGTTGAGTTCCTCCATGTGGAAGGAAGGAATGATGTGTACATATCTTTAGAGTGGCTCTAAAATTTAACTGGCTCTTGGAGCAAAGTACTTAACACAGTGCCTGTCCTGTAAGTGTTTTACTAACGGTAGCTATTACAATACTTATTATTTTGGATAAAATCTGTGTGAATTCTGCACAAGCTAACTTTCATTTTTAAATTAAAATTAAATTTATTTTGTAATTGATAGTTAAAAAATTGAACATACTAAAGGTGTACCATGTGATGCCTCATGTGTATATTGTGTAATATTTAAACCAGGTTAAATGTATGTAATCAAACATACATTATGTCTCCACGGGGGGAGCATCAAAATCCTTCCTTTTAGCTTTTGAGACATGCAATACATTATCGCCGATTACAGTTAGTCTTGTGCAGTGGCACACCAGAGCTTCTTATTCCTAACTGTAACTTAATACTCATTGTCAACCTCTCTTCCCCCTAACTTGCATCTAACTTTCTCCTAACAAGCTGTTAACAAGACCAAGGTCAGGATTTAGCATCCATTTGGAATTAGTTATCTATGAGCACAGACTACTTTCTCCAACTGAGCAGCTGTCTTGAAAATACATACAACGCTGGAGAGAGAAGTATCTGGGTAGAAAAAATGATGATTAATCACAGCAACTGAAAATATTATCCATATTAATAGTGAAGAATAAGTAATAGCTCTTCTTACATATACACATTAAAAATCCCATTCCTCCATTGCATGTGGCAGCACACAGCTGCAATCCCAGCACTCTGGGAGACTGAGGCAGGAGGATCACAAGTTTGAATCCAGCCTGGGCAATTTAGACACTTGACAAGCAGGATCTCAAAACAAAAGGAAATGGGGTTATAGCTCAGTGAAAATACCCTGGATCCAATCTGCTGATTCAGAAAATGAATAAAATATGCCACGCCTCAAGACCTGAAACAAAATGCATAATTTGTTGCCTGTTAAGAAATAACTTAAAAGGCACAATCTGAGCAAAACAAAGTTAGCAGAAGCATGGAGTTCCAGCTTTGGTTGATTTTCAGGAGTTAGACTATTTAGGAGTTCATTAACAAAGCTTAACTGAGGAAGGATGGGCACTTGAATGTTGCTGATTGGCTGATTTTCAGGAGCAATTTCTAAACCACGTTGTCATTGATTAAGTACAACAGATTTAAAAACACTTCTTTCTAAGTTGTTCATTACTATGGTCAAAGAAAATCATTCTCAGCAAAAGAACAACTTCTAGTTCTCATTGCATTGTTAGGTATTTGCTATATATCAAGCAGTATGTCCAGTGTATTATATTACCACCTTTAATCATCACAGTATTATTTTAAGCCCTATTATCTATGGTTTCACAGTATAAGGAAAGAGCTTAGGCTCCTTGCATGTGGTTACATAATTTAAAAATGATTGAGCAAGGAATAACATCCAGGTTCATTCATTCAG